AAACCACATAGAAAAAGACGAAAACATGAGACACGCCCCAGAGCTCGGCAATTGCAGATTGTGTGGACTTCCGAGGCACATTGCTTCAGGGACTGACTTATCTTGATGGCGGCATAGCCGTTATAGCTCCTACCCAGGCTCAAAAATTTGTCCCAATCAGCTCCAGCAAACTTCAAAGCCATCCCGAGGATGCATAGAAGCACCAGTGAAGCCAAGCAAAAGAGAATCAACCTCAACAACTCATGGAATTTGAAATCTTCGCTTCGGATCCAAGATGCATGTTTACTTTTCTTATCTGATCAAATTATGTTTCGTCCGTGATGACCTTACGTGTCTAAGATCCTGCGACTTTCCAAAGACATTTTCCAAACACTGGTTAGGAGCATCAAAATGATCGAGGTGAAGTATTCGGCAAATCCGGCTTCCATCTCTCTATCCGTTTGAATGGATCTGCTTGCCAATGTGAGGAGGCTTGCGCTGAAAACAGTGTCTGCGACATTGATGGCGGGAGCCTTCCATGGTCGGAGAGACGATTGTAACACCAGATAGATGATCAATATCATGCTTGCCATGGCTGTCTGCACTGGCGGCGCGTTTGTGCCGGCTACAACTGCAATTGCAAAGCCCAAGCCGCGGCAAAGGAGCGGCACTATGAATCCATAGGTGTCAGTGCGGAAATTTGCTGTGCAAAATCGGAAGCTTTGCACCTTTGCATGCTTACCCTCAACACTCCATCGAGGAAGTTTCCAGACAGCATAGCTGCAAACGACCAGGAACCCCACCACAAAAACAATGAGCGAAGACATGCCAAACGACAGCAGAAGGCCGTGCCCACTGTCTCCGCAAAAAATGCCAGGGTAGCTTAGAACACTGTGCCGCCCATTCGGATGCCTCAAAGCAGTAGGGCTTCAAAGAAAGCAAACAACAAAACTACGTTGCCACCTTTGATATATTCCCAACATGGCTTCAAGTTCAAATGAAGCTAAAGATGTCAGCGCGGGCATTCCCTTGACAAAAATGCATGCTTCAGATTTGCCTATGCGCCTACAATCGGACCACGGTGATGAATATAGCAAAGCAACAGCATCACAATCTATTGCATCATTTGCATGAGATGTTGGCTCATGAGCTTATCGATGCAATTGCATCCTATGACAAGAAGCATGCTGGCTAGAAAGAACTAATCATTAATGCACTTGAAGAGTCAAACGCCATTGCACAAGTAGATTCTCGCGGGGCTGATTGGCCGGAACTTTGTTTGGTGGATCCACAAACAAGACAGCAAATCAACGATCCGTTATGCTCATTGAAATCGTTTGTTCTTGATGCGCTGCGGATTTATATTCCAGATGCCTATATCATTTATGGCCGACGTACCTCTGAGGTTAAGCACAGAGATTGGTTGACAGATACAGCCGAGGCCAACGCAATTTGTGAATAGCCTGTTCTTTGATAAAAGAATTCCAATGCAGAATTGGACGGTTTGTCGATAGAAATCCTCAGGACAAGGTGCTTGTAGCACATCATGGGTTTCAAGGCGACCGCAGCAATTGTGCCAAAGCCCAGCTGGAGGCCAAGCCCCATGGTGTTGAAGGTAAACGGCAATTTCCACCGCTCAAGTCCCCACATCCGGGAGCAACGCGAATGGGACAACGCATGGCACAGCGCAAGCCACACTAGCATAAGGGGGCAAATAATTGCGGTTGCCACATAGCTGAGGGAAGAGGTCCTGCCAATAAGGCAACCTAAGTTCAACCCCTCCAGGTCCAGGACAAAGATCTGCAAACTTGCGGAGGCCATCTCAAATGTCTGAGGCCATTTCGCCGACATCAAGCCAAATAATGCGAGACTTTGTACGACGTTCACCACCAAGCCAACTGCCATTTGAAAGGTTTTGAAAGGTGTGGCCTGTGCAGTGACCTAGGCACAGGTGACAGGTAATAAAATGGTGAATCAACTTCTCTGGGCATGAACTGCAATGAAGCCAATGAAGCCATATTGTTAGTATCATGGTGTGTGTGTGTGCGTGGGTGCGTGGGTGCGTGGGTGCGTGGGTGCGTGGGTGGGTGCGTGCGTGCATGCGTGCGTGCGTGGGTGGGTGGGAGTAAGTCCACAAATGCAGTTTGATTTCCGCGTCATTCCCTCCAAGCCACCTATTTTGCCTCTCGACTTGGTTTTGCCGGAGAAAGGGCCAATTCGTTCTGCACATACATTTTGGAAGTCTCTACGCTGAAAGCCAAGCTTCTTTACACAACCTGACATGTTGACATTTTATTACCCGTACGAGGAAGTCTTGGCTTTGGAGCAGGGGTGTCAAACCCAGGTCAACAGTCCCAAAGGTTACTTGAACAAAAATGCTTTCGAGTGATCCCCACCCTTAGACACTATTGTGACATGGTTCTGACATACCTCTTTCTGGCATATACTCTGACATTCTATCTGACATTCTTTCTGGCATGTGTATCTGGCATATCTTTTGACATTCTTTTTGGCATTCCGGCGGGGAACACTGTGATCCTGAGCTTGCTGTTTGGGTCCAGCGGGGAACACTGCGATCTAGGGCTTGCAGTTGAGGTGCGGCGGAGGATGAGACGGGACAGCTAACATGAAATCTACAGTTCCAACCCTCACCTGGCAGGGGGGGAATAAAACTGCTGGCTCTCTGAGTCTCAATCTCCAATTTTGCAACATGCCCTTTTCCGGTTTTTGGTTCGCAGAAGCAGTTTCTTGCCAGGCTGGGAGTTTTGGGTGCTTTCATCATTGAAGTCCAAAGTTTCCAGAAAACTCACAGACTGTAACAGAATCGTTTGAAAGAGCCCCTTTTCGAGCAACATCTTAAGTGCCAAGCTGCAGCAGAGTTTGTGTAGAAATAGGCGGTTCTAACGCCTATCAAAGCCAATGAAACTGCAGCCGCCCAGCCAACTGCTGCGGCTCCACAATCTGCACACTTGTCACCTGCCCAGCTTTTGCCATCAGGACAGAATGAGCAAGGCTCACCCTTCAGGCCCCCAGCGCATGTTCCTGCAGAGTCGTTCCGGGGTGTTTGCTTTCTAGCAGCTATGCCAGCACCGGCGGGGCATCATGAACAGAAGCGAAACTGATTGGTGGTTTCAGACCGAAAACTGTTAGTCCTAGTCCTCGGGGATTGTCCTCCCATGATTGAAACATATTGAAAATAAGAAACATGAATGCTTGAAACCGCAGAGCTGGAAATGGCTGGCGGGCCACACAGCAGAATTCTGCAAACCTCGACACCCCAGACCCCAACCTCCTCAGCCGTTTGCAAACCAGTCCTGGCATTCCTCCTGGGCACCAAGCAGCAGGTCTGCATCGGAAAAGCTGCAACGGATCATTGACGGTTGCGAAGTAGCCACTTTGGATTCTGGTCGCCTCGGGTGCAACGTTTGGCAAGACGTTTGCCACACGGCTCCATTGCTCCATCTTTGAAAATACGTTCTTGGAAGCTCCGGACTACGCACAAGACTGGGTCCAACATCTGGTTATATCCAGTTTGGTGTCCAACTGTCCAACAATAATTACACGCATTACACGCACTGGGATTGATGTGCCGTCACAGTTTGCAATGCACACGATGCATACAGGTAACGAGTTGTTCACTTGACGAAGGCTGTCCTCCACAGGCCGCTGTTTCAGAAGGCTGTTTCATGTCACAATGCCTCAACATAGCGTGACCATGTTTCAAGAGCAGTTTGGTACAGTTGGTAGATGTTGGTAAGTCCTTCAATAAACCTTGAATAGTCCTTGAATCATTGAAAGTGCCCGGAAAATCCAACCAAATGCAGGTGACATGCAGGATGTCAATCTACTTCTAGTTTTATGCCCAGGCCTGTCAGCAAAGCTTGAACGCTTGAGGAGAATGGGCAGTCGAAGCCTTCACGACATGGAATGCACTCCAAAGGTTTAGTGGTGACATTTGCGGCAACGGTGGCGACGTTGATGGACCCAGCCTTGCAGCCACAATCCAAAATTGAGTTGGACCCCAACAAGAGCGTTGTGGCACCAGCCGGGCAAAGCTTGCAGTCACGTTGACCCTCTTCATCTTGGTACTGGCCAACTGGACAACGGTTGCACGCCAGACTCCCGGTCTCATTCTGGTAGCTGCCAGTTGGACATGGAGAGCATGACACCGATGCTCCAGAAACTTGGAAGGATCCACTGGGACATTCTTGGCAAATGTATGTGATTCCTTCCAAGGAAATCAGAGCTTTTCAGCACCTTCTCAAAAGCAACTCTGGTGTAAAGTTGACAAATCAAATGGTCACTTGAAATTCCAGGAACATTATGGAACATTCTCAAAAACATCCCATGAATCAGATGTTTTTCATGCTGTTTTTGAAGCCGCTGCCGATGCTTCCCTGACCTTGTGCATCCAGCAGCTGAGAGGAGAAGAAGCCTGCGAATGCCACCGACTTTCGCGGTATCGTACTACATTGGATCCTACATGGATCTACATGGACGACATGATGCTATCATGATAATCACATGATAGGATATGACAGATATGATAGGATACAACTGCAATCCAGCCGCATTCACTACACAACCCGACACCAAGCTCGGTACGACAAACAGAAGTGAAATGCTTTGGTACAAGTATCTGAAACAAGCAAAACAAACATCACAGTTAGGGATAAAATGATTAAGAACCTTGGTGCAAATACCCCCATTCCTAGGTGCATCCAAGGTGTAAGTGGTGAGTTTCTCATCATGGGGTTTTTCACCACATTTCCCATCATTTCCCCATTTCATGGGAAGTTGGGGGTGAAACCTTGCCGGACGACTCGGCCTGAAGGACAAGCCCTACAGGTGATTTTGACCCCCTCACGAGTCTGCAAAAATTTCTCGTCCTTCTCCTGGGTGAAAGTCGAGTCGCTTAAGAAGTCGAGTCTCACTAGGCACCCAATGGCTGATGGTTCGAAACTTTGAGACATTCTGAAATGATTTGGTGGGGTACGGTGAGTATGCATCGAAATATATCAAAATGACAGAGTGTGGACGGAAGTCGCTTGAAAGAAGGCCTGGAATAATCAGGCCCATAGTCAGGCCCATAGACAGGGGGATTACAGGGACACAGAAATTGTATGAATATACTGTATGCGTGATCGAAATCCGATATTTCCAGTGTTCTTTTGTTTACGACCTGACCTTCGACACCAACATACAACTCCGATCAGGTTTCATCGGATCCCAAAAAGGCCTCCTCCTGCTTACTTCCCAAACAGGTCTGTGAAAACTCAAAGCAGCATGCATCGAAAATTGAAAGTCCCTGGAGATAGCTTTGGCAAGGCACGCTGTACATCCCGAATTGGGAGAAACATTTTCCTCTTTCTGGAAGCCAGGTTTTCCGTTTCTGTTCATTTGACTGGAGCCAGCGGCACGCCACATCAAAGTCAACATCAGTGGTGTCCAATTGGTCCAACATCATGTCATCAATTGCTTTGGGGCTGAGCTGGAATCCTTGGAAACGAAAGTTTGCCAGTGTTCGAAAAGTCTCCTGTGACTTCCCCACTAACCTCATGAGTTTCCAAGTTCAAACCTCCAGTATGGCTACAAATGAACATAAATGAACCACATGATCCTACCAGCCCCCACCTAAACATTCACCTTCCAAAGGAAAAAAATGTCATGAAGTCTTGGCAAAATTCTGGTGAGAAACTCCTCCACTTCTGGGGCCAAGAGGCTTAAATCCCAACTCACGAGCTTGTCCACAGAAATATCTCGACTGGCGGAACGTACATCACCCCTGGCCCATGCCTCTTTATCGTACTCGGGAAAGATTATCTTTCCTGGCTTCAACCTCTCAAGGGGCCCCAAAAAAACACACCGGCATCGACCCCAAACATTTTGTTCAACTACGTTTTTACCCCTTCTTCCACCTGTGCCTGCCGTCAATAATAGCTTCTATCAAACAAATTTGCTTCTCTCGGGTGCACAGGTATCAGTTGCTGCAGATTCCGAATCTTCCATTTGCTTTGGAGTTGCTGGATTGTGGACATAGTGGGTTCATTGTAATTTCAGCAATTTGGAGCTGGAACGCGTCGTTTGTGCAGTATCGAAAGAGCGCCATTGCGAAGCTGGAACCTCATTTGCATGGTCTTTACAAGATTTTCTAAGGCTAAGACCTGCTACTTGAAGTGTAGTTTTCAAACTCTGAATGGTTGTTATCGTAGTTGTTGCTGATACTGTTGCCCGCGCTTGCTGGTGATGTCCTCATTGCTATGGCCGTTTCTGCTGTTGTTGCCCATGCCGTCACTATTGATCTCGTTTGCTTATGGTAGTCCACAGAATCTTTGCATGTTGCATTTGGTCTCGTTTTGTATTGTGGATATTGCGGAACCTGATTAGTACGCGGTTCAGACTTCGCTTGAAGGGGATTGAGAGTGCATAGCACCCCAGAAAACACATGGAATTCCTCTGCAATCTGTGCGGCTCTTGTCATTGTCTTGCCCTTCTGTGAATACTGATCATGGGATTGGTCTTGTTGGTGTTGTTCTTCGTGTCCTTTTTCTTCTGCTTCTTCGTCTCAACTGTCTTTCTTCTGATTTGTCTTCTTGTTGTCTAGTGGTTCCTGCTCTTCTGCTTACTCTCATTGTAGATGTCGCATGTCCTGATGTTGCTATTGTCGTTAGTGGTAGTCACTTTTGGGCTGAAGGGCTACGCAAGATGCAAAAGGCAAAGAAGCAGAACAGTAATTCACCAGTACAATCAAAACAGCGGAGAAGCAGAGAAGCAGAAGCGCAAAAAACAGAGGAATTAAGAAACCGAAAAACAGAAGCAAAACAACAGCCAAAGTATCAACAAAAAGGACTAATAAACGAAAAAAGAACAAAAACATTGCTCTCCTCAAATAGGTTGGACCCGCTTACCGAGACTTTCTAGGCCACGAAGACAAGACTGTATCAACATTTATCAACGTTTCAACTGAGGCCAGAACACGAAAGTGATAAGCAAATGAAAGAAGGTGTGATGTTGAGTTTCTGGGCCATGAAGTCCATTAACATCTCAGAAAGCCAGGTGGAAACCTAGCAACAGCGTGACTTTCAACCAGCATTTTACGGGCCTGAGGAAAGTAGGATCAGGAACCCACCAGTACAGCATGAAATTGAAGTCCGTTGGCAGATTGGCATAAGCCTGGAAAGTACTGGCAACAGCCGTTGCCACAGGCATGTTGTAGATGGTTGCCTTGATCAGCGTCTCCCCAATTCCCCATCCAGTGCCACCAGTGAACCACGTCAAGCAAGTGCCAGGATCTGCTCTGCAGGCAGGTGCATACCAAAAGTGGTCCGCAAAGCATTTTGCAACTACAAGACCTTCGCTGTCAACCACCACACCCTCTGCATCTCCTGTGAGGTCGAAATAGTTCCCCATAACTGCGTTAGACATCAACGCCGTGTCCGCGCAGGGAAGTAATTTCGAAACATTCATGTCACCTGGGGGAGTAAAGTAGCTCCCTGGGGTTCTCCATGACATGTTGTAGTCCCTGTAGAAATCCAAACTGATGCCCTCTGCTTGATAAGCCTTCTGCTGCACTGCAAGTGGAACATACATCGCGGTTGTGCCACTGTAGCCTCCATTTCCCAAATTTTTGGGCGCCACCTTGGGATACTGGGCTTGGACTTGAGCCCACTCGTCAACATAGCCTTCTTGCCAAGCCTCCACATTGATGTGAACGTAGGTCACACTGCGGCCACAACCTCGATCTGCGTTGCCCAAAGGATTTGTGCACCCCATCAAAGCATAGAAAGCATCCATGGCGATTCCTCCTGTACCTTTCAGCTCCGTGTTGTAACCCAGCATCTCCTGGTGCCACTTGGAGGGCAGCATTCAGCTACATGTGGTGTACGTCTGCTGGACCATGTTATTGTGATGGACATTTGTTGTTATATACGCGTTTGATCGCATTTACACCCCGTACCCTCACCCACTGAAAATGGGAAAATGAAGATCCCTGCAGCATGCCTGTTTTGAAGGGTGGCAAAGGCTGGCAAAATTATGGGTCCGCGCGGAAATTAGTGAATCACCCACTCCATCCCACTCCCTGTACTGTCAATGCGGGTCATCTGTGGGCCCCTCCTCCACCATAATCTGCACCACAGCGGTAGCAAGGTGGGCAGCGGCATAGTTACCAGTTTTCCAAAGCCCAATGGAATAGGACTCACCTGCGACATTCACCAAATCCCTGCGGTCAACCTCTGCTGTGGCATTGGGCAAGCACGCACCTTTGCTGCCGACCAAGCCCATGACGCGTAAAAATAACCACGGGCCATTCATGGTTAAGGAGCTCTTGTGTACTATACGCTGGATTCGGTGCAATGCACTGAGCCACATGCTCTGCAGCATTTCATGAAACGAACGCTGAATCCCAACTCGACCAAAAAATATCAAGAAACCTCATGCAAGCAGCACATGAAACATGTCTGTCCAAAGCCAACAAAACAATCGGATTGCACGCTTGCCAAACTATGAAGGTCAACCCCATTTCTTTCCAAATAAAAAATGAAACAACACATCAATGGCGGAAATGTCCCAAACCCATCAACAAAAATCATTTCCTACCCGCAACACTGGGGATGTCACGTGATTTTTGTTTCCCTCAACTGACTCAACATCCTTTCCATCCCTTTCCTCAACATTCCCCAACCCCAACAATTTCCGCCTGCTCATTCACCCCAGCTCTGGCCCTCAGCAGCTTCTCCACACCGCCTGCCTCGCGGAGCACATGCAGCGGCGTTTGCTGCCTTCGGTTCGGCATCCAAGGCGAGGCCTTCGCAGCCAGCAGCAGATCCATCACCTGCTCTGAAACGCCCACCACAAAAACTGAACCCGCCCACCCACATCCACCCACGTACTACTATCTGTATTAATTAATACATTTTATCCCTGTGCACATGTCCACTATGAAATGGTGGGACCCCTGTTCGATTTCCGGTGCCATCCTTATAAAGAAAGGAACCGTGTTGTAACGACTTGTGCCCAGTGAATCCCGCCATTTTGTAAGAAACCTTTTTGGTTGGGCGAATCATTTTGTGAAAACCAACTTGGCCCACATGCGAGGTGAATCATTTGTAAGAGCTAAATTTCGCCCACATGCGTTGAAAAAATGATGTCGGGGACAATCATTGTATGACACTGTTTGGGGTTCATTTCAGGCAGTGCAAAATATGGTATTGAAATCTCGATGATGCCCAGGAACCATGTTTTTTTCTGGATTTTTTGGGGTTCCATCATTGATGTGTGAAGAACTGGCAAGACACCACAAGGGCCCATCCATCAGAATAGCTTTTGGGATTGGGATAAAGGATTGCCGTGTTTCCCGGATACAAGATACACATGTTTCCAAAGCAATCGTTCAATATTACAAGAAAAAATACAATTTCGTGTGATCCGCACCCTGAAACATTATATATATATACATATTCCAACATAGATTCTGACATGCCATCTGGAAGTATATATGGTACTTTCTGGCAAATACTCTGACATTCTATCTGATATTTTTTCTGTCATATGTACAGTAGCTGGCATATCTTCTGCCATTCTTTCTAGCATTCTGTCTGATATGTCTTCGGAGATTCGTTGTGGTCGAGGTCAGGCGGGGATCACTCTGATCCTGAGTTTGCTGTTCGGGTCCGGCGGCGAACACTGCGTTCTATAGCGCTTGCAGTTGAGGTCCGGCGGAGGAGGCGGAGGCGGAGGCGGAGGAGAAGGAGAATGCAGCAGGACAGCTGACATAAAATCTAACAACCCTCACCTGGCTTGACTTGGGACCTGGGAAATGAGATTGGGGCAAGCATTTTGTAAGGCACCGTCCCAGATCCTCCCACCGTGGCGAATTCACTAAAAATTTGATATTTTAAACTAACAACAGACAACATATGAATAGAAAATGTGTATAAAGATAAATATATATATATGTATATATACGTATATATATATATATATACAAGCAACAATAACTGTAAATATTAGTATGAGTAGTGGTAAGTGTGGCCATGACCCAGCTAAACATATTTTGAAATCCCCACCTCGGGTGCCAGGGTCTGATACTCTGGCACTGGGGAATCCATATTTCCATACACTAAGTTGTTGGTTTCATTTGGAAAAATCAAGACGGCAGCATTCATTTTAAAAAAAAGTACAAGTCAAAACAGTTCCCAAATCACTGATTGGTGGGAAAAAAAACTTTGGCGGTATCCCCAACAGCTGCAACATTTTATTTTTACAAATCTTTCTGAAGCTTGCTGCGAAGCCAAGCGCTGGAAACACCTCAGCTGGGTTTCCGTGAGTTAAATGGCCGCAAATCCTGTTGACCCTTCTCCGGAACCCTGTTGACCCTGACCTGGCTCTGCACCAAAGCCTCCCAGACCTTCTCCGGAAGCTTCTCTGGAACCTTCTCCGGAACCCTGTTGAACCTAACCTGGCTCTGCAAGCCTGTGCTGTTGGGAATAATATGAAAATCCGTTAAGATCCTCAACCCAAATATCTCCGTGATCGCCCGTGATCCTGATGATTTCCAATTGAATGAGATCCCGTCACCATGGTGACGTTAACCTATACAAAGTCACTAGGTCACCCATGACTTTGAACATGTTTGCGATACCATGACTGAAACCTCCATAATATACTGAATCATTAGTTTAATCTACCATGATGTCCATGCTAATAATCAAGTGTTTATGCTTTTTATCAAAATATACTAAGTACATCTATATGCTATATATCTGAAATATCTAAATATACTCTATGAATATATATATATACTGAATCTTCCGTGGCGGAGCTTGGCCGCGAATCACGTGGCACCTCCAAGGCGCCGCTGGCCGCGGCCAGATACAGCGGCGTGCGGAATTGGACGTCCTATGGCTGCATCAAACTGGCCATGGCGATATTGAGTCTCTCTCTCTCTCTCTCGCTCGCTCGCTCTCTCTCTCTCTCTCTGTCTCTCTCTCTCTCTCTCTCTTTCTCTCGCGATATATATATACATATATATATACATATATATATATACATATATATATAGGTAGATAGATAGATAGATAGAAAGATAGAAAGATAGAAAGGTAGAAAGATAGAAAGATAGAAAGATAGAAAGATAGAAAGATAGAAAGATAGAAAGATAGAGGTAGAGATAGAGATAGATATAGAGATAGAGATAGAGATAGAGATAGATAAGAGAGATCAGGGAAATAAGATAGTTCAGATAGTTCAGGTAGGCAAGATAGTTAGTTAGATAGATATATAGATAGATCGATCGATAGACCGATAGATCGATAGATAGATCGGTAGATAGATAGATGAGTAGGTAGGTAGGTAGGCAGGCAGGCAGGCAGGCAGGTAGGTAGGTAGCAATAAAGGTAGGTAGGTAGGTAGGTAGGTAGATGAGGTAGGTAGGTAGGTAGGTAGGTAGGTAGGTAGGTAGGTAGGTAGGCAGATTAGTAGATTAGTAGAATAGTAAATTGGTAGATTAGTAGATTAGGTAGATATGTACATTTTACGTATATAAATCTTATGTACCCGACTACTATACTGATGAGTTTTATTAATGGTCTATTTGGCATGATCTATTTGGGTCTGTGTGAAGTCGGTTTACAGACTATGGCCATTAGCTCATGGGGATAATGATATAAACCAGTGGAATTCTGCGGAATTCCTGTTTTCAGGCAAACCTTAATGGCGGGAAATGAGCTGTAGCCATGTTGTTGCACATCTCAGAAACTGAGCAAAAACTCTTGTTAGCTGGTTGTTAATGATAAATCTATGTTCCTGTTGATGGAAACAAAATCACCAATGAACCTACCAAACAAAGGCTGACGCAGATTTGTTGCAACTGCGTTTTGGTTCAATGAAAAGGGTATGCTCTCAGCTCATCAAATGCAAGCATCTGAGGTGGGTTGGGTATATGTCCATTATTGCTTTAATGAATAAGTTTGGAATGGACAAGTGCTAGACATCCCCAAGCTGTCCTTTTGAACACCTGACATGACAAGCCAATTTGGTGGTTGTCGTGTTAAACCATTCAAAATTGGGAGCGCCAGCTTCTGTGTTCCCAAGCTTGTGATGGCGTAACACCAAAAGGTGACAAAAATGAATCGTTGATATGCCATTTTGTTAGTTGCAAGTCATCAGTGCTGCCAGATTAGCGCTCAAGTCATCCTCAAAGGGCTGTTCAGACCTAGGATTTTTAATTCAGCAGCTCATTGCAACGCGTTTTCTCTGACAGAATCCCTCGCCACCCATGACACTAAAACATTGCCAATGGCTAAAAATTCTTACTTCTTACGCTTCACTGGGGGCAACCCGTCACAGATCTGTAACATGCGAATGGATCGTTGCTGAAGACTTGTGGCTTCCATCCAGCAAACTTTGACGCACAAAACGAGGCATTTCATACAGAAATCTTGCCAAAAGATTTCTTATAGGGAGCTTGTAGAGAAATCGTGCCAAGAGACCTCTTATGGAGATCTTGTTCAGAGATCTTGCCAAGAGACCTCTTGCAGAGATCTTGCCAACAGAGCTCTTATCGAGATCTTGTACAGAGATCTTGCCAGGAGACCTCTTACAGAGATTTTGTACAAAGACATTGCATGGAGATGTGTTGCAGAGATCTTGCCGAGAGGTCTCTTACATACATCTTGCCAAGACAACTCTTCTAGAGAGCTTGCACAGGAGATTTCATAAAGAGATCTTGAACAGGGACATTGCATAGAGATCTGCTGAGATCTTGCCCAGAGGCCCCTTACGGAGATCTCGCCAAGAGACCTCTTTTTGAGATCTTGTACGGTGATCTTGCCAGGACACCTCTTCTGGAGACCTTGCATAGAGATCTGTTGCAGAGATCTTGCCAAGAGGTCTCTTACATAAATCTTGCCGAGAGGGCTTTTATAGAGAGATCTCATTAAAAAAAAAAAGAATGCTGAGGGATCTCTTATAGATATCTTGCCCAGAGGTCTTGCCAAGAGACTTCTTAAAGAGATCTGTACAGAGAGAGCTCTCATAGAGATCTTGTAGGCAGATCTTGCCGGGAGACCTCTTATGGAGATCTTGTGCAGAGACCTAGTGAAGAGAGCAGAGGTCTTGCTTGGAGATCATTATAGAATTTATAGATAACTTGAATAGGGACCTTACTTTGAGATCCCTTACAAAGATCTTCTGTGGAGATCTCCTATAGACACCTTGTATACAAATAGCCTTACAAAGGGATCTTGCACAGCAGCTTCTACGGACAGAGAGCGTTTCAAGGAGATCTTGCGCGCAATCTTCTACAGAGATCTTCACAAAGGGAACTTGCAGAAGCTGATCTGGTATCTCTTCTTTTCACTACTAGGGTCGCTCTTGTCCTGCTAGCTTGCAGCCGCTGATGATTTTAGGTCCTTTCCACCTTCCCCTTTAGAATCCTAACTACACACTGTTTGGGGTCTCTTGCCGGGATATTTTTTTTGAATACTACCTTCATTGAAGTCAATCTTCTTGGCCTTTCACCCACAGCTGGTCATTTGTTTCACAACATCAAATGACTTTGCGGTCCGCAGGGGCTTGATCCCACCACCCACAAACTTTGGAGGATATCCACTGCTTTGCATCATTTTGTGTCAAAACTGGGTGTACAAAAATTGGATCGTCGATTACCAGCTGAACTTAGGGTGTTTCCCCCCCACACTGGAATATGCCTCTGAAAAGGGGTGACACACTAGGAGTTGCCAAAATTGAATTGTTCAAACGTTTCCCTGAAAATTGCCCAAATCTGTGGGTTAGGCTGTAAGCTTCAATACCATCCGCATTTCTGTGGCTTCACATGGCCTGCTGATTCGCTTTGCAGTTCTTTGCCAACAGCAGCTGTACACAGGCTGTGCCCTGGAACCGGCCGATGCAGATCCAAATTGATCCAGATGGGCATCCCAGTGATCCAGTGTGTAAAAAGCATAGTGTCACCCAGTTATGGGATTACCAGCTGCGTATTGGCTTAACCACCTATCCGGGATGCACATGAAAGTGATTTGTGTACTTGGGGAGTCGCATGTGTTTGCTACATATTGCCGTTTGTTGGTGACCCCTGCAATCACCCGGGGCTGGCAGGGTTCCATATCCACCGAAGACAGTTCCCGATTGGGGGAACATCGTTAAGGACACCATTCAAGCACTGTTTCAGGTGACGTTTAAACCCCCAAATGGAAACAAAATGGATTTTGGCGGGGCGACTCGTCGCTCCCTAAGAAACACCAGCCCAGAAATCGGGATCGGATTCTACATCTCTGACAGCTCGCACTGAGTGAAACAAATTGTAAAAAGAAATTATTGGTTCATGGCTGTGTCGGTTTCTACCAACTGTTTTCTACATCGTGAAATGGTTCTACTAATCCTGTCCATGACCAAACCAGTTTTTGGGCACAAATCAAACCTGAGGATGTACCATGGGTCGTACTCCTCGTTGTAATCAACCACTGGGCACCTGGGCCCATCTATGATCCTCCCAACACTTCTCTGTAGTGAAGCCACAAACCAAGCCTCATATGTGTGCGAATGACAATGATCCCTTTACTGTGATGATTTCTTGATGCCCAGCAAAGTCGGTACAATTTGCCGATCCAGGGTTGCTTAAATTGCTGAAGTGCCACACCAAGGTTTAGCCAGTTTATTCACAGGTCATGGTGAATCTCGATTTTTTCTTGGTGAAATTACCATGCCTTCTGAATTCCCAACTTTTGCTGATTTCGTTCACGTTTTGCACCTCTGGATGTGCCGCTGCATGTAGTGCCGTGCCAGCGCCCGTCTCCCGGAGGTTTCCATTGGCGTGCGCTGCCAGTAACAGCTGGAGGCACTGGCTATGGCCGCCGTGTGCGGCGAAGCAAAGGGGCCGCTGCACCATGGAAAAGCCACGGTGCGCGGGCCCCACGGCGTCCTGGTTCATCTCCCGGGGGTTGTCAAGCTGTGCTCAAGGATGACTGGAATGTGACGCTTATAGATTCTGTGTATTTACAAACACATCCAAACATTCAAACATCCACACATCTTCATGGTGTATTATGGCTCTTGATACTATGGCATTATTTAGGATACAGTCAGAATTAGTACAGAAGGCCTATATGAAGATTGAAGCACACATCAAACAACATGTGATGATTGGGATATGATCATTGGGATATTTGCGTTATGTTGCTGATAATGATGACAATCCCAAATGCAAGTGGCCACCTAGGAATGGTTGGGAAGTCCCTCATTTCCCAAGTCCAGTGGATCATGGTTGCGAAGTCACCGAGTCCCTGTAGATGAGGTCGTCAAGGGATATGGATCTACACGGCTGACAACTGGTTTTCAGGTTGCTAACATTTGCTAACTAGTAACTAGATCCACCTTGCACCTCCAACCATGCACCGCCATTCACCACAAGAGAAGCCCCATGCATTGAATAACCATTTTGGGCATCCAATTTTCATGTAGCCAATCACGTTTTGACCCACGACTATGTCCCACAAAGTGGGTGACCCACGGCCAGAATCCACCAAGATAAACCAGAGCGCCACCAATAACCCATTAAAAAAAACCCAAAGAAAATCCAAAGTCCAAAACTCCACCAAAAGGTCCAAACATCCACCAAACAAATCTATGAAATATCCATCAAACAAATCCATCAAACACCTTGAATCAAACAAATCCGCCAAAAACAAAAACTCAAAACTGCCATACCTGGGCCATACCTTGCCTGAATCAGGTCTCGTTGCACGCCATCTGCCTGGGCCTTGGCTTCCAAGAGAAGCTGCAGCATATCCTGGCGATAGATCATGAATAGATGGCCTTAGATGGATCAATTCATACTGTGGATGTACATAAATTAAAGGACCGGATAACCCCACATGTTACCAACTTCTTTAGACTTAGACTGACCATAGAAGAGCAAGAAGGGAAGAGGAAGTATAAGAGTGATGGAGCGGTGATGGTGGGTGAGTTTGTGTGTATGTATGTATGTTCATGTACAGTGAGTGAGTGAGAGTGTGAGTGAGTGATGCCAGTGTGGTGTGTGTGAGTGAGGGATGTGAGAGTGAGTGAAGTGAGTGAAGTGAAGTGAAGTGAAGTGAAGTGAAGTGAAGTGAAGTGAAGTGAAGTGAAGTGAAGTGAGTGAGTGGGTGAGTGAGTGAGTGCGGTAGGTGAGGTAGGTGAGGTAGGTGAGGTAGGTGGTGAGGTAGGGGAGGTAGGTGAGGTAGGTGAGGTAAGTGAGGTAGGTGAGGTAGGTGAGGTAGGTGAGGTAGGTGAGTGAGTGAGTGAGTGAATGTGAGTGAGTGTGAGTGATGGTTTTCTCCAGAGCTTCTATGAGCTTCTCCCATCTTCCTGGTGGCCCCAGGCTGCCTTTGGCCGGTGGATAGTCGGGCGTCCAAGTCGCACCCTCCTGCCAATATGCATTGGCCTGGACAAAAGAACTGGCTTGAAGGCCAAAAATGCCAGCAAAAACATGAACACCACCAAAGACATGTTCAAGATGGCGCTTGCAGTCGAGTATATGAAGGCGGTTGTCTTAGATGCGACTTGGATCCCTGCAGTTTGTGAGGCGCATAATGTTGTGGATGGATGGCACATCCAGTCGAAAACAGTGGTTTGCCAGAGAGGAGTCAAAGCGTTGCACGCAGTCGAAGCAGTACAAAAATCTGCTCAGAGAATTTCAGCGGCCATACTGCATGGGCTATTTGCTGAGAAGAAACAATCTAGCATCTTGACCGGGAACACACCGGTCCCAAATCCAGACCCCAGACAATCCAAGGAGGATGCACGGCAGGAGAATGCGGATGAAGAGCAGGACTCAGAGGAGTTTGGGCCCATCCAGAACTTCGGCACAGCCAGTTTGAGTGAGTGAGTGAGTGAGTGGGTGGGTGAGTGAGTGAGTGAGTGAGTGAGTGAGTGAGTGAGTGAGTGCGTCAGTGAGTCAGTCGTGTGTGAGTTGTGAGTGTGAGTGTGTGAGTGTGTGAGTGAGTGAGTGTCTGCGTTCTCTTTTCCGTTCCCGGCACAGACCGGAAACATCATAACTGCATGGCATAATTTAAAAGTGATTTGAATAGCCTACACCAAGTCAAGTCAATGTGGGGAGCAAAAACCCCACACGTCAATGTGAGGAACAAACTGTTGGTGTGCCTGACATATTCAACACCATACATGTTTAACACACATTCGAAACGGCCTCGCCTTTCCAGCCTTCCGACACACTATCAAAACGATGGTGTGCTCACCATACTTTCGCTGACCAAAGTAATGTTCTGCAAAAGAGGCGGAGCCCAAGGGACGCCAGGGCGTACATCCGACCCCTTGGCAGTGCACATTGTCCCACGCCTGCCACGCAAAAGACGCGGAGCCCGAGGGACGCCAGGGCGTACATCCGACCCCTTGGCAGTGCACATTGTCCCACGCCTGCCACGCAAAAGACGCGGAGCCCGAGGGACGCCAGGGCGTACATCCGACCCCTTGGCAGTGCACATTGTCCCACGCCTGCCACGCAAAAGACGCGGAGTGCACATTGTCCCACGCCTGCCACGCAAAAGAGGCGGAGCCCGAGGGACGCCAGGGCGTACATCCGACCCCTTGGCACTGCACATTGTCCCACGCCTGCCACGCAAAAGCGGCGGAGCCCCAAGGGACGCCAGGGCGTACATCAGACCCCTTGGCAGTGCACATTGTCGCACGCCTGCCACACAAAAGAGGCGGAGCCCCAAGGGACGCCAGGGCGTACATCAGACCCCTTGGCAGTACACATTGTCCCACGCCTGCCATGCAAAAGCGGCGGAGCCCCAAGGGACGCCAGGGCGTACATCCAACCCCTTGGCAGTGCAGATTGTCCCGCGCCTGCCACGCAAAAGAGGCGGAGCCCCAAGGGACGCCAGGGCGTACATCAGACCCCTTGGCAGTGCACATTGTCCCACGCCTGCCACGCAAAAGCGGCGGAGCCCCAAGGGACGCCAGGGCGTACATCAGACCCCTTGGCAGTGCACATTGTCCCACGCCTGCCACGCAAAACGCGGAGCCCCAAGGGACGCCAGGGCGTACATCAGACCCCTTGGCAGTGCACATTGTCCCACGCCTGCCACGCAAAAGCGCGGAGCCCCAAGGGACGCCAGGGCTTGGCGCCACACGCCTGCAAAAGAGGCGAGCCCCAGGGGGCGTACATCCGACCCCCCCTTTGTCCCACGCCTGCCACGCAAAAGCGGCGGAGCCCCAAGGGACGCCAGGGCGTACATCCAACCCCTTGGCAGTACACATTGTCCCACGCCTGCCACGCAAAAGAGGCGGAGCCCCAAGGGACGCCAGGGCGTACATCCGACCCCTTGGCACTGCACATTGTCCCACGCCTGCCACGCAAAAGAGGCGGAGCCCCAAGGGACGCCAGGGCGTACATCAGACCCCTTGGCATGCACATTGTCCCACGCCTGCCACGCAAAAGCGGCGGAGCCCCAAGGGACGCCAGGGCGTACATCCAGACCCCTTGGCAGTGCACATTGTCCCACGCCTGCCACACAAAAGAGGCGGAGCCCCAAGGGACGCCAGGGCGTACATCAGACCCCTTGGCAGTGCACATTGTCCCACGCCTGCCACGCAAAAGCGGCGGAGCCCCAAGGGACGCCAGGGCGTACATCCAACCCCTTGGCAGTGCAGATTGTCCCACGCCTGCCACGCAAAAGCGGCGGAGCCCCAAGGGACGCCAGGGCGTACATCCGACCCCTTGGCAGTGCACATTGTCCCACGCCTGCCACGCAAAATGCACATGAGTGAGCGAGTGTGTGAGTATGTGAGTGTGTGAGTGTGTGAGTGTGTGTGTGTGTGAGTGAGTGAGTGAGTGAGTGAGTGAGTGAGTGAGTGAGTGAGTGAGTGAGTGAGTGAGAGTGAGTGAGAGAGTGTGTGTGTGTGTGTGTGTTTGTTTGTGTGTGTGAGTGAGTGTGAGTGTGAGTGTGAGTGTGAGTGTGAGTGTGAGTGTGAGTGTGAGTGTGAGAGTGAGTGAGTGAGTGAGTGAGTGAGAGTGAGTGAGAGTGAGTGAGAGTGAGTGAGAGAGTGTGTGTGTGTGTTTGTTTGTGTGTGAGTGAGTGTGAGTGAGTGAGTGAGTGAGTGAGTGAGTGAGTGAGTGAAGTGAGTGAGTGAGTGAGTGAGGTGAGTGAGTGTGTGAGTGTGAGTGATGGAGGGAGGGAGGGAGGACGGGAAGGAAGGAGGACGAGGAGGAGGAGCGGATACAGAACTAAAAACAAAAACCCCACACGTCAATGTGGGGAAAAATACATATACATATGGATGTAACCAATCTATTCCAATCTATATGGATGTAACTGTATGTACATAAATCGTGATTGTAGAGAACAAGATAGAACACGTATAATGAATTTGGATGAAATTGGGGAAATCAAACATAGCCATAGCATGTGTTGTAGTGGGTCACTGCCAAATAAACCTATCACAGTCCATCGCGACCGGCATGTTCGTACCACGGCTTTGACCTTGGGGATGATAGTCCTGAACAATAAACAAACTCCACTGACCAACATGTGTCTTCATATCGCATGGTCTTCGTTTGCTGATCTGGGGAACGCCAATTGAAGCTATCAGCTATAACTAACAAATATTAAGTAATGACCAACGCGTTTATACCAATGCTTAAAAAATGAATACCTAAAAATGTAAAACTGTGTGTGTGTGCACGGGCATGCATATCAAGCGCATTTAATACATGTACATAGTGCACATAGTCTATCATACATAGTCGATCATGCACAATCTATATATATATAATATACATATCTTCTGTACTGTATATCTTATGTATTCTTATGTACTGCCTCACGCATGTTGATATTAATACCTACGGCAGCACATTGACATGTCCTTCCACCACCTTTGTTCAAGGGCCTCATTGCCTTGCTGGGCAGCGAAGCACAAGGCGCAGACGCCATTGGGATCCGTGGCGTCGGTGCGTTGGCCGCGACACAAGATCTCCTGACCACCGTGGACGCCAAGGGTTCCATTGGCTTTTAACGGGGGTGATTACTAGCCTTCATAGTGGAAAGATTACAATGTGGACTTAGAAGCTATGTAAGTAAGATATAACTTATCCATAAATATCCAGGCTTTAGGGTGGACTACCCACAAATTAGAGTGTAATATAAGCTTCAAAACAAAGGATATAGCCATCATAAAGGGGGGATGATGAATGTTCCATGAAAAGTAGGGGCTTCGTGGCCATTGACCCGGGGGGTAAATAGTTGGGTGATTGCAGCCTGCAGCTGAGTATCATTACAATAGGGAAATACAATGGACGGCAGAGGTATCTCTTCCTAATTATGATATAATCAGCTATGGGAGATGCCATGATTGCAAGCCATTGCCTGAATTCCTTGTAATGGGGCTATCCCATCTACAAAAAATCAGTGACCATGGAAAGCACATATTAAAAGGGGGGCAAAGGTAGGTGGTTTCATTAAGTTTCATTCCCCTGCACCAGTCAATACCCCACTTACATCCAGTTACAGTCACGTGGTAACAGTCATAGACTACCCTCTGGGAACTGCCCGCCAGACTTGTCGCCAGGAAAAAAAACACAAGAATGAGGGGTGGAACTGTGGAAGGTATAGAATATCACAGTGTATCACAGCTATATTTTGACAATATTGGATGGTATATTCAATTTTGGATACAACGGACAATCGATACAAACCTTCCAACTTTGGATATCTCATAGTGGGAAATATGTTCATACTGGGTATATCAACAATAGTCGAATCTCAACTTGGGATACAAGCAAGAAACACTAAGAAACTTGGACATACTCTGGACAACGCAGTGTAAAATCACGGGTTTGCCGTCTAGAGTCTCAATGTAAACCTCTGGGGGGTACTATAACATAAGTCCGGATAAACAGATATAAACAGCAAGAGTGGGGCATAACATTCCTGCTATCACCTCCCAAAAATATTCCAAACATGGGGTTTGCAATCCAGTTAGTTGGTGACATGTCGGCACCGAATCTTTGGGAGTCAGGGGCGAATGGTTGGTGGCTTCAACCCCTGAAACATGTCGGCCCATCTTTATGGCTGAAGATTTGAAACGATCTCTGCCATGACATAACCCATGAGGGTTTATATCCCACTAGGCGTAGTTTGCTCCTGGGTCATCACGTGTCACCGTCCTATTTTCAAGAGTGCACTGGGAATACCACTAGGTTTAGAGGCTATCACAAAAATCATCATTGGGAGTGATGATTTTCCTAGTTGGTGGACGGTTTTCCCACATTGCCGATCCACAGTTACTGGGACATCACCACAAATACTGGGAAACTTACGAGGACTCCTCAAGGGTCCAGGCAGATTGACCAATGGTGCTTCGATCGTATTCGATGGCTGGCCACCTACTGAGACCTCGTGCTGTATATCCTATTGTTGGGTCTTTACAAATCAAAGGTCAGAAAATGATGACCCTTTATATAAACATGTCCGACTTGTTGGATGTGCACATCCCAAAAAGTGGCCACGTCACCTCCACTTGCAGCAGTTCATTCGTCTTCACAGCTTCCAAGAGTTCAGTGGCCTTGTTCCGAGCACTTTTGTCCAAGCCATGCGTGGCATTGCATATCAAAGTTTCATGGGATTCACCGAAATGTGTCACAAGGTCTTCAGTGGGGTGCCCTTCACAATCACACGCATCTGCAGAAATTGAAATAAAAATGAGGTGTATCGCATCTATCTCAACCCTCGGATCCCCAAAAATCTATTGGTTTACCCTTCACCCAAGTTTACGCAGCTGCTACCCCTGTTCTTGTGGTCTAAAGCCCGACATGTTTGTGCTTATGGCCTACTATTCACCATTTCGTTCCACATGTTCTTTGCTAAACCCTAATGCTTGGACCCAATGCTTGGATGTTTCAGCCACCATTTTGGGTTGGTTAACCCATGTTCTTGGAAACCAAATCATGGGGAAAAAACAACGTTTTTTGGGTTTACCTTGATTTTCCCTCATTTTCCATCATGTTCCATAGTATTAATGGGTATTCACCACCAAAATTCGTCCCGGCCCAACATTCGTCCCAGTCACGTGGCCGTTCACCCGCTTCTCAGACTTCACGTAGACGGCCGTCAACTCCAGCGGTGATCCCAGCTGGTGCCACGAAGCATCGTCCTTCACCCAGGTCTCTCCGGCACACAGCCTCGCGGCCCCAAACCGTGGGTGGCTTCAAGAAGAAGAGACAATGGAAGACAAGGGGAAAGGCGGAAACACATGGAGACACCATCAAACAGAGGGATTCAAGAAGGGAGACAAGCTGGGAGGCAAGCTGGGAGACAAAGGAGACAAGGCTTCGGGAAGGCGGACGCACTATCCAACAAAGGGAAACAAGAAGGAAGACAAACTGGGAGATAAGCTGGGAGACGCGGCCTCGGAAAGGCGGACACAGCATCCAACAAAGGGAACGAAAAGTAGGCTCGCTAAAGCCAGATGAGGGATGAACAATTGCACGCTGCAAAGCACCACATGCTCGGACCACTTTTGGAAATTGAGATGTCGATAAAGTGCACGCCGTTGTGGCGCGAAGCACATTTCCAAGTCAAAATGTTAAAAGCACAACAGGCCCGGACCACTTTTGAAGGTTCAGATGTGGTTTTGCGTGGCAGGCGCAAGGGATTCCGCACCTTGCCAAAAGTGAGCAAAACGTGATGGTTTTCTAGCATTTCCACAAGCAATGGCAGGCGCGGGACATTTCAAGAGGATTCGGAAAGATGCATTTTCCGTGGCAGGCGCAGTACAAGAGACATGCTCATCAGAGATGTAAGGAGGTCAGGGCGCTGATTTCCTGAGAGGGGTTGCATTTTGGAGCATCAGATCTTCAGGTTTGCCAAGATGATTTTGCGTGACAGGCGCAGCACTTCGTGTGACCTGGCATCACTTTTCGTGGCAGGCGCAGCACTTTACGCAGACGGAGTGGAAAAATCACACAAAGCATCGGCACGAGGCCGTCAGCTCTGCACTCAACTTTCCATTTTTGAAGGAAGTCTCGCAGAATTACTTCGTTTTTGATGTTGTCAAATTCAAAAATTGAGGAAGTCTTGTAGAATTGTTTCGTTTTTGACGTTGTCAAGTTCAAAAATTGAGGAAATCTCGCAGAATTGCTGCGTTTTTGATGTTGTCACCTTTGAAAATGGATGAAGCCTTGCAGAATTGCTTCGTTTTCAAACAGATAGACAACAACAACTACAACTACCACGACATTATATTACTAGTAAACTACATATGCACATATACTACGCTACATTACTCTACACTAGTTACACTACACTACACTAGTTACATCTAATTACACTACACTACACTAATTACACTACAACTACAACAACTACTACTACCACAGCTACAACTACAATTGCAACTACACTACGTTACACTACACTAACTACACTGCAATACACTACAGCTACAAATACAACTACAACTACACTACATTACACAACGCTACACTTCACTAATTACATTACATACACTACAGCGGCAGCTACAACTGCAGCTGCAACTACAACTACACTACTTTACACTTTACACTACAATTCACTAGACTACACTGCGCTACACTACGGTACACAACACTACAGTACCCTACACCACACTACACTAATTACACACCACAACTACAACTGCAACTGCAGCTACACTACAGGTACAACTACAACTCCACTACAACTACAACTACAACTACAACTACAACCACAACCACAACTGCACTACACCACACTACACCCAGCAGGTGTGGTGACGTGACCACTGCAACCATTGCAACCACTTCAAAAAACACAACTCCAACCACCTTTCGGTCCATCAGTGGAATCGCTCTGCCATCCGTGATTCACAACAACCAACCTCTCCTATATGTTTCCTATTTTTGAAACTTCCGTCAACGCCTCGTGTGGTACTACTGGTAAATGTCCTTCAAGTCATTGATACATGATTATGCTGTATTACCATGTTATAAAGTTGTTATAAAGTTATATCATGTTATATCCATCTGATTTTACTCTCCATATTTGGCTCACCATTTTTCAGCCACGGCGTCACGGCGCCACGGCGCCACGGCGCCTCACCCGGAAGCGCGGCTTTTGGATCTGCCGCGCCACCTCGCTGCGCAGCTGGCTGAGCCCATCCGCGTCCGCTGTGTCCGCGGGAAGCTGCCCGCAGATTTCGCCCGAAAGCAGGCGCGCAGTGAGCATTCGATGGATTCGATGGGGGGAGACGGTCCAACTATGTCCAACTGATTTTTAAAAGTTGGCGAAGTGGAGTTTTATGAGTTTTAGAAGGATTTCCACCCAAATGTTGAAGGTATTGGTGAAACTCGTGACAAGTTGATGGGTAACTGTCGTCCCGGTGCGTTGGGAACTCCTGTTCAAAGGATTGTGTCTGTCGATATGCGCGCTGCTAAAAAGAATTCAATTCATTTGCATCGCCTGTTGATGCAACTCAAACCGAGATACGTTTAGGATATCCAATCAGCAAGTGGTTCTCAAGTGGTTCAGTGGATTTCGTTCATGTTCACTGCCGATCAACGCAAACCAACCTGCTGGAACGTTTGCTCAGCACTATTTTGAGGCGAGCAACTTGGATAAAAACTAGAAATGTCAACTCCGGATTAACAACCCCCTGGTTTCATTCCGGGGGGTCCATTTTGTGACATTCATTACTTTGTGCCCTAATTAAAGCAACCAAGGGTTCATCTTGGGTTACATTCTTAAATAAGGTCTGCGAGATCATACGAAGGGTTCATGGTTTTCTCTGAAGATTATGGACGAACACCGGTTGAGCATCATTTGCGTTATGGAAAAAAAATGCCATATTGCCATATCAATTGGAGAGAAATCTCCTAATTTTGAAACACACCCATATGATTTGTCCAGTGGTCTAGTATCTTCCCAGCGTTGAAACCTGCTCTTCCCTCAACCCACTCCTACCCGGATACCCGGCCTGAAACCCTTCATGCTACGTCTGACTTTCTGTGTAATGGGAAAAGGGAGCGATGTAATGTTCCAGCATCAAGGATCTTGGGATACACTGGGTACACCCTTAAAATTCACTGAAATTCACCATACTACCAGTTACTACCAATAAATAGAGCGAATAGATCCATCTGAAATCATCTCAATATGTTTGTATTTCCAAGGCGTGTCTCCCACCTATCCAAAAGGCCGTCACATCACTTCAAGGCCCCCAGCTTTCACGTGCACAGTGTTGCTTCCAGTTGTAGAGGCCAAAGATCGCGGCCTCGAGTGTGACATTTGTCTATCATAGGTCGAATTCTTTTCATTTTTGCTTAGATCATTCATGAGGGTTTGTGTCAAATTCATTGGGAAAAATATCGTGGTTTCACCTGAAAAAATGGTTGCTGGATGTTGCTGGATCATTTCCGCATCATTTTTCTACCGTTCCCCCTATCACCACCTCTACACATCTACCGCCACATGTCTCGGCCTCATAGTCTCGTTGGCTTCCAAAAGCTCTCATCTGATCCTGCGACACCCTGTGGACTGGTCCTGGCAGAGACTCATGGGGAATTGCTTGGAATCTTGGAAAACAAAGAGCGGTTTCGCAGAAAAAAAATCATCAGACAAAAAAACATTTGCAAGTGAAGTGAACAACTTAAGATCAGACATTTGGAGGGCGGTCGAAAGCTTTTTTTTAATTAAGCAGTTTCCCAATGTTGGGATTCCCAGTTCAAGGGTTGACATTACGATAAAGCAAATGCTTCATCCCAGTTGCTGGATACTCATCTTCTGTGATTTTCTTTAGCACTGTTATTTTTGGTTACACCGGTTTCACCCCTCATTGTTGGTCTAGGCTGTGGTGGGAAAGTGAATTGGTAGTTCATGTACACATGGATGATGTTCCTTTGCCATGTTTGATCACCAGATTCCCAAAGGCTAGCCACGTAGCCGTTTTTACCAACCTCAGGGCTAAACAATGACCGTGCACTTTTCTCGAATTCCAAAACAATGACATTGAGGCTCCAATGATGGGCTCCAATCAATCTGGTCGGAACTTGCACCCCGCCCCATGGAGGAAAACCCACTGGATGCTGTTCGTTGTGGGTCCACTCCCAGGCTGAAATCCTGGTGAATGTCTCATTTTTGTGGCTGGTTAGAACAGCCTTTTTACACCGTAGCTTAGGCTATCTCCCAAGCTACATTGCCAGTCACCACCAGGATCATCACATTTTGAGTAACTGGAATCGTGGGTGAGGCTACAACCCCAATAACAAACATAAAAATAAGAAGTCAAGATGATCCGTGCTGTCAAAGTGGCAATGTTGGGTCAGATTGCAGGCCTGATGCAAGCCCAGACTCGCAGCAAGATCCCTTGAACCTCACATTGTGTGAGGGGTGGGTCAACAGCATGCCCCGAAAATAGAGCATGATCATTGGCTAAGAAAATTGGCATAGAGACGATCATCGAAGATCGTTGGATTTGGAAATCCAAAATTCAATCTTTGGGTTCGTCATTGATCTATTTATATCTATTTATCGTATTTCCAGCTGGCCCGCAAAATTTATCCTAGGATCTCAGATGGAGCACGCATCAGCGGGTTCCAGCTTGTGTGTGTGTGTAAGTGTGTGCTGCAGCCAGGTGACTTCATTGTGTCACATAGCGCTTATTAAGCTTCACCGTCCACCCGCATCATGGCGGAGAACATAATCTTAGATCATGAGAATTATGGGTGAAAAAATATATACATGATCATATAGATATCATAAACCATGGGATACCATAATCCCAGTTCTCAATGGTGAAAATCTCATGTTTGATGAATGTCTGAAATCCCCATCTTTGTGGCAAACCATCGAAACCATCACCGCGACCAAGCTGCGGCAAGAGCAACAGCTCGCGATGGCGTTTGACAACCGCGAACTGCGCACCTGGAGCAGCGGGTCCAGTATCTTTGGGTATCTCGAATTTCTAACCCATTCAGAAAGCGCCAGTTGATTCAGGAGGGGTCCCCAATGTGACAAATCGACAATTCTCAATAATGAATGATAAATACATATAAATACATATAAATACTAAGTACCCCACCCCTCTTGTGAACTCAGGGGTGACATTGCATACAACTGGGACGTTTAATACGTGGTTTGGGGGTCTTTCGATCTTGCATCATGTGCTAACCAAGGGGGGGCGCAAAGGCACTCTTTGGGTGAAGATAGCTGTTGACATCCTAAGTATGCATGATTTTTATTGATTTTTCAGATTCATGTTCCGTGATTTTCGTGCGTAACTTGCGAGAATTCACCCATTGGCCCTTTCCGCACCATTGGCGCTGTGTCCGGTGTCGGCCTCGTCTTGGACTGCATCCGGAGCAACATCGCTTGGACATTGGCCTTCAGCTGTGGCTCTAAAAAACGTGCGGATGTCGTTTTCTCCAACTGGCCATTCACCAAATGGGATGTTAGTAAAGCAACAACACACCACCCATATTTGATGGTTCCATAAAATTGGTAAAATTGGGGATGGCAACGATTCTTGCTTTAACTTTCCATTGTTACCTCGAACAAACGGACCATGAGTCGACAGTTCTGGAGATCAAGACCTCGCCTGGTGTCACAACGGCGACACCACGGGACGCCGGTGCCCGGCGCCCAAAAAAATCCAAAGGGCTGCGGGTGGTCTGCTATGGTCTGCTATGGTCTGCTATGGTCTGCTATGGTCTGCTATGGTCTGCTATGGTCTGCTTACAGCACAGGTTGCAGATGGTCATGTCATGGAATTCCTCTGCCGTGTCCCCCGTGGGTCACCCAAAATTAGCATTGCCCGCAACCCTTCCCCGTCAAGTCATCTGAGGTTCATCCCTTATTCCGGTGGCCTGAGTTTGACCAGTAAGCTAATTCAGACCCATATTCGAACCTGAAGATATGTGCAGGTGAATTTTACACATCCTCAGCCATGGTCATGGATGAAATACGTATGATTAAATCAATGAAATCCAACTATCATCAACTATCCCATCCAACTCTTTATTCTCTTCCACCACATTTCTAACACTTCCTCAGAATTCGTCAGATTTCACTTCCAGCACCTGAGCCCAGCGGATGGCGATGGCGGATAGCGGGGCGCCCACCTCGTGGTGTCTGGCGCGGTCGCGCTGATATCCCAACTCTTCGGTGGCCTGAAAACTGGCGACTGAAGTGATGATCATCAAAAATGGAAAGATCACTGGAAAGATCACTGGAAACATATTAACATATGAATAACATATGTATACATATGTCGCCTTAAACTTCGACTGGTCACCCGAAAAATTACCTAAGTTATCGAAGTCTGCTGGACAATGATACAAATTCATCTGGAATCCCACTGAACTGACTAGTTTGGTGAGTTTGGTGAGTTTGGTGGTGTGAAATGTGGGGAGAATGAAGATCCAAAAGCAGCGAGGTTTTCAGGGGTCAACTTCTTAATCCAACACAGTCTAACCGGAACAGTTCAACCCGAACTCTTCAGATCTTACCCTGGGATTTGGGAGACCCTATCAGCGGCATAGAAGAGGCGTCTCAAAGATGAACTATTCATCTATGGAGAGAAAAGTGGAGGGACCAGACTTTCGAAGATACTTTCGAAAACCACACTTTCTCTTCCTCTTCCTCTTCCTCTTTCTCTTCCTCTTCCTCTTCCTCTTCCTCTTCCTCTTCCTCTTCCTCTTCCTCTTCCTCTTCCTCTTCCTCTTCCTCTTCCTCTTCCTCCTCCTCCTCCTCCTCCTCCTCCTCTTCTTCTTCTTCTTCTTCTTTCAGTGGTCTTTCACTGGTTTCGGAGCCTTCCCGAACAGTTCAGCGCTGACCCGGCGGACCCGGCCTCAGTCAATTCATTCCTCAATGAATTCAACACGTAGTAACGCTGCGTGTCCTGGCACGGTGCACCATGCGCCACGGCTGGAAACCAGGCTGTTTTCAAATTGGGGCTTTGCTATTGAAACTGAATAGAAAACACAAAGTCCATTTGCGTCCTGAAGTTCAGATTTTCAGTAGCTATAAGAAGGGACTAAGAAGGGACAAAAGTTGACTAAAGATGTGGTTTTGAATGAAAAAAATGACCGTACTCCTCCGTTTGCAGTCGTGCAGCCACATTCCTGGGTGAGTGGGATGCAGATCCAAATTGCTGTCTGTTTTTTGAGGCCACTTGAAGCATCGCCAAAAACTGCGACCGAAACTATTGTACTGACACAAAGGGCAAGATTCGGTTGCAACTAGAATGGCTATGTTCTGTTCAATGTGTCTGTTCAATGTGTCAACCTGTCATTTCTCTTGTCTCGCTTCGAAGTAGATTATATGTTGATTGGCCTCCAGAAATCTGCGTTTAAAAACAGGGCTACCCCAAATCCAGCTGGAATGATATACTGCTGGCATGTTCGATATCCAAAAATGGGGAGTCTTAGAAAATGCTTAGCAAATGAGGCATGCAATGAACATATAAATAATATCAACCCTAAATCCAGAGAGAAATGTTTGTAAGATTTCTTTGAATGCCACAACAACATGGAGAACACCATCCGTCCCTGTAAGTACATTCATTGCACGGTGGTCGATGGGATGCAGTGTCCATTCCCTTCCAAGCTGCTTAAAGTGATCAATGTCCAATTTCAGGTGCTTGATCTCCGCCTGCGGTTTCCGGTTTCTAAAAAGGAGGCCAACCAAAAATTGAATACGGTGAAATAGAAACATGTTTACAGTGTTCACAAGGTTTACAGTTATCTCTGTACTGGCATATGTTTGGTTTATACGTGCCTTGTCTGTTACAAAGATATGATGATATATGAATTGTAAAGATTAATATATGATGTATATTAATATTACATATTATGATATATGTATATTCATATATTAATCGAAGGAAGTTTAGAAGTGAAACTTCCGACAATATGGACAGTTGAAAAGCAGAGGTGAGAAGAGTCAGAAGAGAAAAGATCAGAAGAAAGAAGATGCAGATGCGCGAAAAGATAGGAAAGTCGCGAAACACTGTGTTTTTCCAATGATTTGGGGCTCCGGAGGGTCGAAAAGTAGGCTCGCTAAAGCGGCGGGTGCGGAGCCAGCTGGCCAGATGAGACATGAAAAAGTGCACGCCGTTGTGGCGCGAAGCACATTTCCAAATCAATTTGGACAAAACACTAGAGGATCGGGCTACTTTTGGAAGTTGCGATGTCGAAAAAGTGCACGCCGTTGTGGCGCGAAGCACATTTGGAAGTCAAAATGTACAAAACACCGCAACCTCGGACCACTTTTGGAAGTTGAGATGTCGAAAAAGTGCACGCCGTTGTGGCGCGAAACACATTTCCAAGTCAAAATGTACAAAACACACCAATGTCGGACCACTTTTGGGAGTTGAGATGTCGAAAAAGTGCACGCCGTTGTGGCGCGAAGCACATTTCCAAGTCAAAATGTACAAAACACACCAATGTCGGACCACTTTTGGAAGTTCAGATGTCGAAAAAGTGCACGCCGTTGTGGCGCGAAGCACATTTCCAAGTCAAAATGCACAAAACACAAGGGGTTCGGACCACTTTTGGAGGTTCAGAGGTCGACAAAGTGTCGAAAAAGTGCACGCCGTTGTGGCGCGAAGCACATTTCGAAGTCAAAAGTGTAAAAAACTGAGGGTTTTGAGCCTTTTTGGACGTGAAGATGTCGAAAAAGTAGACACTGATTAACTTAACTAACTTGACTAACTTAACTAACTTCACTAACTTAACTACCCTAACTTCGACGACAACAGCAACAGCAACAGCAACAGCAACAGCAACAACAACAACAACAACAGCAACAACACAACAACACCAACCACAACAACTACAACTACAACAGCTACAACTACAACAACTACACAACAACTACAACTACAACTAGAACTACAACTACAACACCTACCAACAACAACAACAACAACAACAACAACAACAACAACAGCAACAGCAACAGCAACAGCAACAACAACAACAACAACAAGAACAACAACAACTACTACTACTACTACTACTACAACTACTACAACAACTACAACAACTACAACTACTACTACAACTACACTACACAACAACTACAACAACACAACAACTACAGCTACAACTACAACAACAACAACTACTACTACTACAACAACAACTACTACTACTACTACAACTACAACTACAGCTACAACTATATGACTGCAACTACACTACACTAATTACATTACACCACAGCTACAACTCCACTACGCTACAACTACAACTACAGTTGCAGTACATCACACTACATCCAGCAGTTGTGGGTGAGGTGACCACTGCAACCATTGCAACCACTCCAGCAAACACAACTCCAACCACTTTTCGGTCAATCAGTGGATTCGCTCTGCCATCCGTGATTCACAACAACCAACCTCTCCTATAGGTTTCTTATTTTTGAAACTTCCGCCACCGCCTTGTGCGGTACTACTGGTATATGATGTATACAGATATTGCATGAAACTCATCTCCGTGCCTCGATTGCTTCTCTAGAAGACAAGGAGGGCGCTGTGCTCGTCTCCTTGGGCCATGTCAGCCATGTGGCCGTTGATGGTCATTCTTGACTATCCATTGACTATCCAATCCACTCCCCAAACAGCAACAAACATCAACAAACATCACCAACGAACATCCGTTTGCAGTGGCCACTTGCATCAAGATAAGTGTATACAGTGTATTTTATATTTCATATGAATCTGTGTGTGTGCTTCTGCGCCCCCGCATTCGTTCTTTCTTCCTAATTCTGTCTAGTTCTGGCATTTTTAGAGGACATGTCCAGTCTTGGAAGATTTCTTTCTTCCTCTTCCTGATTGCTGGCGTATCTTCATTTTGGGAACATTCAAAGTCTCTTTCGATAAAAATCACGGTACAAATCTCTTTTTGGGGTATGGTTTTAAATACCCCTTGAGCGCATCATTTTCAGACAAATTCTCATCGCGAAGCAATGAGCCGGCGGATCCTTTACTTCATCCTGCGCCAGCACTGGTGGCAGCAGAAGACGTGTAGCTTCCCTGAGCACCCAGCCGCGAGAAACGACCAGCCATTTGGGCGTCGCAAATCAGTAGAGGTGGTTTCAGCGGAAAATCTGAGTTGGAACATGTACCTTCATATGTATATGAATAAGTGAAGATACGTAGATATGATAACATTCTATAACATTCTAAAACATACCATGACATAAGATTGGATCACATCATGCTATAATATTCTATGATACGTATATATACATGTGTATGTGTATATATATAATGTAGGCTCCCTGCACAGTGATATGGAGATAGCTCTCAACCGCAAATCCTCGATATGCGGTGCCGTCGATGATTCATGGAGGATGACCAGCCCGTTTTGAAGCCACCTATTACATGTTGCATTCAATCTATCCCTATATATATACAAATATGTATGTATGTCTGTCTGTCTGTCTGCCTGCCTGCCTGCCTGCCTGCCTGGATGTATGTATGTATGTATATATATATATGTACATTCGTATATTATATGTATATAGTATATATTGTATTATATGTATGTATTATATGTCTATATTATATGTATACACGTGTGTATATATATATCATATATATATAATAGTGTTTGCTGTGACCTTTCAAACAGGATCACGTCGAGGCTCCCAGTACCGTCCCTGCTGCACCGCGCCTTGCTCGAGCAAGCTCAAGCATCAAAGGGGCTAGCGCCTCAAACCGTCGGTCCAAATGGGTTTCTCCAGGAAAATACACCAGAGGTATACCAGGTATACCCTGTTTGGTGGTATTTTACTCAACAAAAATGATGAATCAATGAGAATCATGGGATTTGGGAATACCCAATTTTCAGACAAACCTGGACACATCTGCCACAAAAGTTGGGGGCTCTGCATCTTTTGATAACCGTTCATGGATGGCCAGGATGTGTTCCCTGTTCCAGCTTCAAAATCGTGATATGTCAAGAAAGTTGTCGGAAAAAATGAACTGCTTCTCTATTTTTAAAAAGCCCAAATAGCCAAAACAGACTACTTTCATCTACTTTCATTGTTAACCTGGAAAACTGCGTAACTGCGTAACTGCGTTCTTTCAGGAAGCTGGGCCAGCTGTGCCACCCAGACTGCTTCTGCAGCGCTCAGTAATTGACCTCCACATCTTCGAGCCTGTGAGGCAAGCTGTGTTCGCTGTGCTCGCCACGAGCTCGAACATGGTGAGTGTTGGAGATCAACCAGGAAAGATTGTGAAATGGACACACGTGAAACACGTGAAATGGATGTCCAATATCTGGCCACATTAGCCAATCATAGCCAGTCCACAAAAAGACGTGGATCTCAAAATCTTGAGTTTCTCCAAACACCACCTTTTCTATCACACCCCTGACACCCTGGTTTTCTCGTCAAAATCGGTGGTCGTGGTAGATGATGTTCATCCGTGCAGATTGGTCTTCAAACGTTCTGACCACTTTTAGTGGCTAACACACCATTCTTGTCTGTTATATCTCCATCATTCTCCATCGCTGGTAATATCTTGATAGAAACATAAAATCCCCATGGATCAAAAACCGGGCATGGCTCACGGCGACGAGCCATCAATACTCGGGTTCACCCACGAGCCATGGATAATTTGTAGTCACAGGATTTACGTGGGATTTCCCCATATTTACACCATCCATGGGGAGTCCGCAGAATGTGAACAGCCCCGAAATACGATCCCTCGCCTCTTGCAGCTCTACCTGGGACTGGGTCAACTCTTGGTGAATCTGCTGGTACTCCTCCTCGACGGAAGACGGAAACATCACCGAACGATAGTGGAATCCTCCAAATTGCATCATCTCATGAACTGCTTTTTTTGAGATTAGGAATTGGCAATTTTAGTGGAAGAACACAAACTTCTTTGTTGTCAGAAGCGCTTTCACCCCATGCTTTTGTGAACCTGCAAGTGTAAACCCTAAGTGGATGCACATGGACCTTGAGTGTTCAAAAAACTTTTGGCAGTTGTCGTGTTTCCCTCCTCACGGTATTGTGGAAACAGGAACCTCATGTTCTTGAGAATTGACTACATGTGTATGTTGGATTGACAGGTAATTGCCGCATATGAAGCACACGTAGATGCATGTGAACACATGGATCTTTCTGATTTTACAAATACAAGAAACATACATATTATGTATATACACATATGCATACGGCATACGCATATGCACACGTGTGCACATATTTTTGTATGACTGCAGTATTTTCTAGCGCAAAGCTCCAATTGTGTAGTTACAAGATGGATTACATCACCGCGATCATGGCATCCCCATTGTCAATGGGAATCTCCCCCATTTTGGGTGAGGCCTCCGCCTCGGCAAGCTTCTGCCGTAATGCCTCTTGGGCAGGGCTAAAAAGCCACGAAGGGCAAGAAATCTGGGTTTTTTCTATGGGGGTAATCATGTTTAGTCCAGAAATACATGGCAGTCGACGAAATCCAACCTTTTTGTCTACCATATCTTGATGTGCATGGGACCAATCGATAGAATCAATACATGTTGAGTAACGCTCACGTCCCGCTGACAACAATGTACAACCAAAAACGCAGACTTGACGGAAAAAACATGAAGAATTCTCATGGACGTTGACGTACCCAATCTTTTTTGATACCCCATGATTTGTGATGGTGTGTCCAAGATTGTTGGTTGTGTACACAGCCATCACATGCAACGGTCAAGCTTTGCACACCAAACAACTGGATGGCAAAAGAATGAACAAATCAACGATGAGTCAACTGATGTCAACTTATGACCAGCAAACATATCGCCAACTTTTGAAGTTGTTTGCTCAGTCAGATCTCATGTCGTGGTCACATGTCACATCTCCAACTTGGTCGGTTTTGCGGGCAGTTTTGCAGGTCCAAACCCGACGAAAAAAGGTCATCCCACTTTTTATGTTGTATCTGTTAGTATATTTCATTTTATTATTACATTTTTTTATATATTTATATATAACATTATATAACATTATCTCAATGTAGTTATCTCTTATATCTCATTGTATCTCTCAAGTTCCATTCCTCGTTTCTTTTACCATTCCAATCCCAGCCTCGGCATTGAGGTCTGCCATGCTGAGTCTCTGAACCGTAAGCCGCGGCGACAAAAACTGCTGCAATGCCCAAAGCAACACAGCAAAGGTGGCTGGATTCTTGAAACTTAGCAATGTACACAAATATACTCCATATAATATATATATATATACACATTATGAATATGTTCTAATATATGCTTGCTATCTATCAATTTCTATCTTGAATCTTTCCATCTCAATTAGTGCTGTGTTTTCACCTGTCCCTAGTCTTCCACTGGCGAGTCCACACAAGTAATGAATCAACCCATTAAAAACGGTAACCCTCCTCCCAACCCCCATACGATAAATATTGGTCAACCTGGTCCAATGAATTGATCAACCTGCGGCGCAGGTAGCGTCCGCCGCTTTTCGTCGCTCGCATTAACGTGGGGTGCACCAGTCGCATTTTTCACGCGCGGTTCACCGCCCAGTCGGGTAATGACCATACTGTGAGATCTAACACACTTATCCACATATGATATGTATATCTGTATAGAGAAAGAAAGAAAGAAAGAAAGAAAGAAAGAAAGAGATGGAATAACCCTTCTCATATATATATACACGTATATATACACGTATGTATGTATGTATGTATATATATATATATATCATATATCATATATCATATATCTATAGATAGATGGGATAATGAACCCTTGTTTTTCTGCGGGACGCTAGCCAGATGCCTTTCTGGGAAGCACATCAACTTTGAGGCGGTTGAAAAGTCTGCAGTTGGCGAATATAGCCATCTTGTTCTGCTATCATTGCGGTCAAAGCCAATTCTTTGGAAACCCGAGTCTCAGGGTCCAATGACCAAGTTCTTGATTGTTTCTATCATGAACATATCCACTTAGATTGATCGTTTTATCAAGTACCCATACTGGAAGCATATAGGCCCCTCCCCCCCAAAAAAAGAGACTGTAGCTGGTTGGTGGTTTCAACCCCTCTAAAAAATATATAAAAATATGACTTCGTCAGTTGGGATGATGACATTCCCAATATATGGAAAGTTATTCAAAATTCCATGGTTCCAAGCACCAGTCAGCACCAACCAGGTAGCAATTGTCACTTTTGCCAAAATGGAAATGCTCACGTTGGGTGAATCATCAGCCAGTACGGTCCGGACGGTCCGGGCGCTCCGGGCGGCTCCCCGCATCGAACTAAGAGGCTGGGGATGGGCGCTACCAAGCTGCCTGTTACCCACTGAATGCCACTGACATGGATCGGATTGGATAGGGGTCTATTATGAAGGATGGTTGAATTCAGAAAATTGAGTGATTAGCGATTAGCCACTGACAAATTGATGCTGGAAATGATGGAAATGATACAAATGTTTGAAGCCACCCATTCACTGGCTACGATTTTGTTTTTGAAGGTAACCTTATCAAAAACTGGTAGGAAGTTCCCCCTGAATCATCTGGGCAGCTCCAAAAGTCTTGGTGACCCCAAGCATGGTTACTAGGATTCCACCAATATAATGACTCCCAATAGATGTGCAGAGGTTCACATAACATCCCTGCATCACTGCAGCATGGTAGCGGTGCCATCCCGCAGCAGCCACACCTCGGGGGCTTTGAATTCGACCTGCCACCGTCGCAAGCGATTCGGGTCTCCTCAGTCAAAGATCGGGTGAAAGACCAGCAAACACGGGGGCGCATCGTCACGCAACCCGGTCAGGTAGCCAAACAAAAAATAAGTATCTCAGTCTTGAGCATCCAAATATGGGTGTGTTAACCATCCATGGTGTTAAACATAAACAATGTTAACTATCCAATCTCCAGATATCGACATCTTCCTTTCAGATTTCCTGAGACTCCAGATCCTCATGCCGCCGGACGCGGCTCGGCTTTTGGGCCTGGTCAGGGGATCTGGGAGTCATCCCACCTGGAAGAGTATACGGGATAACTGGATAGTGAACATGGACTATTTAGGGATTTCACAGTCTGGGGCACACCGTGTTTAATCAGGAAATCACTTGACCATGCTGCGATGTTATGAACTTTGGTTCGGCTCGGGCTCAGTCCCCCCAATTTCTTCAACCCCAGGAACAACATTCATGCCCCGAAACTCACGCTGTATCCCAATATGGGTGAGGTACATTGATTACATTGATCCTTCTTGTAGATACAACCATCTGACTTGACTTCTACCCGACTGCATCAAGCTGGATGGCGAACGCAGTTGTCTGGGATGACCCATCCACCGAAATTTTGATCTGTACACTCTCGTAAACAATGGTTATGAACAATCTCTATTGGCTTTCCTCTTGGACAAGTCGAACTTTCCTTGCCATCTTGAGTCACTGGCAGGTCTATTTTTTTTTGATGCACTCACATCTTTGTCGTTCTTCCTCAGTTTTATTACTTGGTAAAATCTCAAAAATAGCCATCTCTTGTTCGCTGGTTTAAGTTCAATCCAAAGGACATGATGAAAATCGTGTCCCCAAACCTCCCTCCAGTTTCTTGTCGCCTCGAGAGGAGGAGATCTGTTGGCTCGTTTGGCCCAAGGCGGCCTGAAAAACCACCCTTTGGGCGGCCCATCAGCCAGGCACTTTGGTTTGGGAAAGCGGCATAAAAACCACATAGGAAGGGCAAATCTTCCATCCTCCATTGATAGATGGTTTACCTGAACACAGGTAGCATCAAGTTAGTTCCGTCCCCAACATGGATAATTAAAACCAACAGCGATTAGCTTGATGATTCTATCCTGGATATAAGAACAACCGTGTGCTTGGAGGTTTCAAGCTGAAAAATATGTCAAATTGGGATTGTAAGTTACTAAACTGATAATTGATCTAGTATGATCTAGTTCTGTCCGGTTATGTCTTCAGCCAAAAATCTCACCAAGTCACCAAGGGGTGCCATGTGGCCGTGGCCATGAGGCCGTGCCTCCAACTCCTCGTAGGCGTTGCGCTGGACGGTCTGGGTGTTCTGCAACCTGCGGCACTGCAAATATGGAAAGCTCTGGTTGGATAATGTTCGAAAAACCTCCACAAAAGATATAATCCTACCAAAAAATGATGACAGTATATAATATTTACATTATACTTTATAGTATATTAGAGTATATCACAGTATATCACAGTATGTTACAGTTTTTGTTGGGCTGGTAATGGTTCATAAAGCTGGCCACCATGGCCACCATGGATGCCATGGGGTCGCCTCTGGATGAGTTCCATCTCCTCCTTTTCCATCTTGGCGACCAGGGCATCTGTGCCTCGATGAAGTGACTGCAGTGACTGCAGCTTGGAATTAGGAAATATCAGTGTCCTAAAACAGATGGAGAAACAATGTCCTACTATTCAGAGGGTGATTTATCTGTGTGTTTGTGTGTAGGGTTTCCATCTATCTATGTTGTTCTTTCCATGTATGTGTCTATCTAACGATCCTTTCTTTCTTCACTTCTTTACTTTCTCTCTCTCTCTCTCTCTCTCCCTCTCACTTCTCTACGTGAGCATATGTGTACCCGTATGCGCCATGTATCTGAAGTGCCTGGTATACAAACATGTTCACATATCTGCTTGCATAAAAGGTATTTGAGCTAATTATAATAATCATACATGAGGCAGGTAGGTTTCAGCGCTCTCAAGGGCTAAAGAGCGTAGAGTATACTCAAGCGGGAACCATATTTTAGAATGCATAATTCAGCCGACGACGCTGATTTGGGTAGATATGCAGATGGGTTTCTTCTCTGTACGAAACTCTTGAAATCACCAGAACCTGGACTTTCTTCACGGTGGGTTCCCCCAAGTAATTAAAGTTCACTAGTGAGAAATCAATGCACCTGCCAACTGAAATAGAGCGGTATGGAACTGGGCTATCCAAGTTTAAGAAACGGACCAGTTAGACTGATGAATCGCAATGAGTCTTTGCTGAGGGCCGCATTAAATATTGAGGAATGCCTGCGCGTCTTTCGGTCTTGGAGGTTCAAGTTCGCTTTAAAGTTCAACGCTGGTAAAGACCAGGTGCTTTACACACCGTTGAATGTTACCACTATATTCACCACCATTGAACCATATTGAACCACTATTAACCATAGGAAAACCACCAGGTAACCAGGTATCCCCTGGATCGATTTCGAAAAAACTCCATGACACCAACAGCGATGGCACAGGGAAAAAATCCTCAGCTCCACACGGGCGCGGAGCATCTCCTCTTGCGCAGCACGTGCCTGAAGGTGGGGGATCCCGGGGATCTATGGGGATCTCGCACATCGATGGATTTTCCATCAAAAAATCATCCAGCTATTGGGGTCACCCCATGACTATGGAAACCCCCCATTTTTATCATTGTATATCATTATAATCCATGCTTTCACCTCGTAATCTTCTCGGTACTTCTCCAATTGCGCCATCCGCTCTTCTTCCATGCGACGCTTCGCCTGAGGGGGAGTCCATGTTGCCAAAAAATTTTGCCAGTTGAAACATATTGAAACCAACATTCACGAGGAATTCCCACTGCCATGGTTGAACACCTGTAAGCAGTAACCTAAACAGAAAATGGCAGTATCGCCGAGGTATGGAATCCACCTAAAGAATCCTCAAGAGGGAATAGAATAGAATCTACCAGAACTCGGCGAAGTCAAAAAGGCAGCACTCAATGACCATCAATGACCAATCTGAGTCAATCTGAGAATCGTCAATGCTGACAGCGAAATCTCGCGCTTCCGCAGCGGAACTTCCGCACCTCATCTTTCCTCTGCTTCAAATAGGATGACCTCGGACGATCCCTCGATCCCTCGTCGCCCAGCTTCGCCGTGATCTCCGTCTTTCACAGATCACAAAGGATCTCAAAATCCTTGCTGAACAACATGTTTTTTGATTTATATGATATATTTAATATATTTAATATATTTATATGATATGATTTCTTGAAAGCCAATCGTTCCTTGGTTTTTTGTGACCGCAAAAATCTGAGCTTTCTAGCCGTTCCAGGTTGGCCTGCCTCTCGGCCTCGAGGCAGCAATATGGCAATGTCATTTTTTAGAGCCAATAAACACCTTATTGGGGTTTAATCATCATTAATGGGGGTTAATGTTGATGGGGTTTAATATGAATATATTGTATTATATTGTGACATGACTCATGAAAATGGGGTTTAATATTGATTGGTTTCACAGTGTTTCACACAGCAACATTATTCCACATGCATCCATTCGCTCATGATTCATCATCGCCATCAACCCCAGTGAGTTGTACTCTGTGAAACCGCCGACCAAACATGATACAGGCCCGAGACTCCCTAGACTGGCAGTTGCATCAACACTTGCTTTGTTTGGTTCACAGATTTTTGCTTTTTTTGCCAAGTTGGTTGGTCAACTATATCCCTCCTGGGACTATCTCGAACGTTCGTAAGTAGTTGATTGAGCTTGCTATAAACGCCCTACAATTGGATTGACATATTTCACCGGATATGTTTGTTCACTTTCTGCAATCTTCAGTTGGATCCTCCAAATGCTCAACTGCAACCTGAAACCAATCTGATCAGCTACATCGGTTGATTGTTCTCATCTTGCCGTATTGAAAGGACAGGATCCGAAAGAACTTCATGTGCAACTGGTAGTCACTCACAAATTGAACGAAAAAACTCATGGTCTAATTTTGGAAGCACACTTTTCTCGGTGAAACGAGATCCAAAGAATTCGGAGCGAACATGATTCCCCTCATGAGTTGTTGGGCGACGGGCGTCGACACAGCGCTATCAAGGGGGTTACCCGGGTTCAGTGATCTCATCTTAGCTAAGGGAAGCTATTCACCATGAGAAAGTCCTTGGAATGTTCGATCAGGACGGAGGATGTGAGTGATTTCACCCTGGTACCTTAGAGGACATCTCGGCCATTGGTTGCAGGTAGCTGAGGCAGCTCTGGTTGAAGTCGCTTCCAAAAGTCGCTTCCTTTTGAGGCCAATGGGCCAGGTCACTCCGTCCAAGCTCTGATTGAAAGAATCATCAAAAGTTAAGTCTTGTAGGCCACTGGGTAACGTCACACGCTCCAGGCCCTGGTTGAAGGCCTCACTGGAGGTCAAGCTTTGAAGGCTGGCAGGTAAAATCACGTGCTCCAAGCTCTTGTTGAATCGCTCACCAAAAGTCAGGCTTTGAAGACCATCTGGCAAGGTCGCGTGGACTAGGCTCTCGTTGAAACCAAAACCAAAAGTCAAGTACTGAAGATTTATTGGCCATGCCACGCCCTCCAAGCTGTGAACACAGATCAAGCTTTGAAGACCAGCCGGCAAGGTCAGAAGTTCGAGGCGTTCAAACTGACTATCCGGCAGGCTTACTTTCGCCATGTTCTGGTTGAAACTTGCACCCAACTTCAATGATTGAAGATTCGGCATCTTCACGCCTTCCAAGGTCTGGTTGAAGCGCTGGCCAAAAGTCAAGTCTTGCAAATTTGCTGGAAAGTCCACATGCTTTAGACTCTGGTTAAACCGACCCCCAAAGGTCAAGGATTGTAGAGACTGAGGCCATGTCATCCTTTCTATGTTTTGGTCAAAGTGTTGGCCAAACCTCAAGCATCGAAGATTACTTGGCCAATTCACATTATCCAAGCTCTGGTTGAAGGACTCGCCCAATGTCAGACTCTCAGACTCTTAAGATTACTTGGTCAGCTAGTGCCGGGCTCTGGTTGAATCCAGAACCGAACGTCAAGCTCTCAAGACTCTCGGGCCAGATTACATGTTCTGAATCTTGTGGGACCGACAAACTTTGAAGATTGGGCATGTTCACCCCATCCAAGCGGTCAAATTGATAGTGCGGTCAAGATGGTCACTGCCCAGCTGAGAGACCGCACTGCCTCACGCTCCTGGCACCCAGCGAATTTGTGACTTCTTGGTGGATTCCTTGGCCATTTTTGAGGTATCCATCAATTTCCGTAGCTTGGTTCTGTTCTTATGTTGTTTTGATTGCAATTTCCATATTCCTATGTTGCCTAGTTTGTTGGTGGTCAAATGTGGACGGTAGTTGACCAGTCGATTCTAAGTTTTTTTTTTACCCACGGGAAGATGATTCCCATCCAGGCGCCCCGGTTCCCACCTTCTTTTGGAGCAACATGTGCTGCGACTGCTGCTTGGTGCTCTGGGCATTCATCAGCCTCGATTTCTTCACCGACCACCAAGGCTTAGTCAAACTTTGATGGTCAGATCCCATGTTTTGTTGGTCAAACCCCCATGTCGATGGTTGAACTATATAAATAAAGAAATGAATGAATAAATAAATATGTTATATATATATACATATATTATAAACAAATATGCATATATATATAATAATAATACAAATATGTATACATATATATATATATGTGTGTGTGTAACATCTGAATAGATGTAAAACTTCTTCTCTCTCTTTTTCTTCCCTTGTCCTCTCCCTTTCTAATTCTAAATTAAATTTAATGCAGGGGAGTGGTGAGCAATGATGAAGTCACCACTCAACGAAGACGCTTCATCATTTGCTGTGATATGACGAAGGGACGCCTTTGTCACGTACCTGCTTTTTTCGGACATAGCAAGGGGCCAAGCTTAGAACCCCAACCACAATATTATACAATTTGCTGCACTGTTGTCGCAATCTGGAATCAATGTTGGTCTTTTATGATTAGTTTAGGTGCATTCAGGATTCAGTTCCTGACGGATCATATAATGATCCATTCTTGTCTAGTGTGAATCCCATGGTGGCTCCGACATGGTGCCATGGAGCCATTTGAGGCAACCCTTTTTAGGGTGAGTGTCGACAGTCTGGAATTCTGAATTTACACATTTTAATTTGGTAATTCATCTAAGTAAATTGCAACAGCTGGCCTTACTGTTTTCCAGCCTTTTTAGGGTTGTCCCGCTGTTCCTGTTGTCCCAGGGACCCCAGTGCTGCGTTCTTTCAAGGGAAGCCATTCCGAATGTTCTGAAACCTCCGTTTTTTGCAGCAACTTTGCAGCACCGTTGCATCAAATCACGACATATGAATCAGGCAGGCTCATGTCTTTCAGGTGTGGTCTTTTTCCTTTTGATGGTTGTCTGGTGAGGTGAAACATGTTGTGCATCTAATTCGATGGAACTTGAAAGCTGTTTTATGCCAATTGGGGCAAGACTTGACCACGGTCCCGGTGCAGGGAATAATCGCACGACCTTTAGGCATTTAGGGACTGAATCCTGTTTTTAATTAATTGTTTTGGTTTATTGTCGGTCATCAACTAGTCCCCCATTTGGTCCCTAATTTCCCCGCGTGCCTCTCCGTAATGTGTCGTGGGGTTTAGGTGTGTGCGCTGTTTTGTTCAGGTCCGTTTCGCCGTGTAGGTTGGTTCCGGAGGTCCGTCTGTTCCCCTCCCCCCCCCTGCGCTGTTTTTGGCCGTTTGCCCTTCGTGTGTCCGCTTTTTTTCTTCCTCTTGCCTTTCAGGGTTGACCCGGCTCCGGCCGGGTGTGTGTGTGTAACATCTGAATAGATGTAAAACTTCTTCTCTCTCTTTTTCTTCCCTTGTCCTCTCCCTTTCTAATTCTAAATTAAATTTAATGCAGGGGAGTGGTGAGCAATGATGAAGTCACCACTCAACGAAGACGCTTCATCATTTGCTGAGGATATGCAGGGACGCCTTTGTCACGTACCTGCTTTTTTCGGACATAGCAAGGGGCCAAGCTTAGAACCCCAACCACAATATTATACAATTTGCTGCACTGTTGTCGCAATCTGGAATCAATGTTGGTCTTTTATGATTAGTTTAGGTGCATTCAGGATTCAGTTCCTGACGGATCATATAATGATCCATTCTTGTCTAGTGTGTGTGTGTGTGTCTGTGTGTGTGTCCTCACTTTTGCCTGGTTAACCCCCCATTTTGGAGACTGAAAGCTGCATCTTGGGTCAGCACTTCTGCTCCATCAACCCATGGCGTGTCTGTTCACGGATGGCCTTCGCCTGCTGGAGATTTCATCCAGATGAAGTGCCAAAGAGTGGTGGAACGAAATTGGCTGACCACTCAAAATTTTCTTACTGGTGCTGCTGCTTAGTAGGGAATGAGGGAATGATCCGCTGGCTCACTATCAATAATAATCCCAGCAACCCCCATTCCCATCCATTCCCATCCATTCCCTACTAAGCACCAGTAAGTTTTAAGATTTTAAGGGCACAGACACCAGTCATGGATCCGTACAAAACTCGCGTACCTGAAAGCCCATGAAATTCTGTGAATTTCATCGAGACAGACCCTTCGAAAACCTTGCAAGTATAGGTGCGCATGGCCGATTCCTGAGCGTAGGCAAATTACAGCCCTTACATGTACAGCATTTTACGATGTGGTAAACCCAATCCGTCCAAGGTAGGCCCAGGTAACTGACCAGCAAATTGGATTTCCACCAGACCGGAGGAGTCTCTTTAAATGCAATTAGTGTGGTCTACAAAGATTTCATCACCTCGTTATCCATGGCTTTTGCTCCATTCCAAACTGCGGACCTTCTCCCTCTGCTGGGCATTCGTTGCCTCGCACCAAGACTTCACAGTTTTGCATAGCTGCACAATGCTGCACAGTTTTGGATGGTCACTTTGGGATAATCGGATAATCCTGTCCAAAACTTTCCACCAGGAGACTCAGCGGAAGGGGTTTTGCAAAGCGAAAACAAAACCGTCGGATATGAAGGGATAATGATGATATATGATGATAATGATCAGATAATGAGCAAATGGAGATAAAAAAAAACACATTGAGTCGTGGGCGTCTTTTTCCCCAATCTCCCCGATGCCTGGGCTGCACGGATGGACTCCCACTTCTGCTTGTAAAACTGCTCCTGGCCCGTTGAAACATCGATTTTCGGGAGAAGTCTGGGAGAAGTATCTCGAAGAACTGGAAGGGGATGTTCGGTATTCAGAAAATGGGGCATTTACAGCTATTTACCAACCTGTGTAGATCAAGGAGAGCCTCGCTTGAGCAAGCAACGGATATGTGTTTTGAAAACGGAAAATCCCATGTTTTGTCAGTGCTTTCAGGTCAACATGTGAAGTCCGACCAGTTGAGGTCCCCCCCCAAAACGCCACCGCATTTTAGTCCTTGGCAGAGAACTTCTGCTCGTTTTGCTCACGCAGTTTCACGATCTCAGCTGCCCGTTTTTTGGTCCTCAGTTTGACGTGCCCTTGCCATGCAAACCGATGCAACAATGCACGCGGATGCATATATCTCAATATTCCTGACGCCTTTCTGGGATGGCGAAATATAAACCATGAATAACCATGATAGGTTTTGTGCGTGTTGAAACGTGGAGTAAAGCTCATTTCTCAGAGTCTACAAGGCATAGATGACCAGGCACCCCAAGCGGCCATAGGTGGTTGCAGATTGAACCCTCATGTTGGTAGTTTTTACACATACATTTCAAATTTTGTTGGCTTAGTCACTACAAACCTTGATTTCAACTAGCACTGTTGGAGCATTTTGGTGGCTTTATTGCAACTATCTGGCAAATTTATCAGCCATTGTGGGATATGTTGTCTTATACCGCCTATACCTTGCTTCAAGTCCATCCTGGTGACTGAAAAAGGGTTAACCTGTGGTCTTCCACTTGCAGTTTCTACGGGGAAAATGATCCCAGTTCTTGTGATTAGCCGTATTCTCACAATGACCACTTTGATTGGTTGTAACATGTTGTAACCATCATCATTTCTGTTGGTTCACATCCCAATTTCTTGGGTTGCCATCCCCATTTGCATTGGTTCCAGCCAGAAAAATCGTCTCAATCCCAGGCCATAGAAATCTTTGAGCTCCCAGACTCTTCGATCTTCTTCCATGCCTCGGAAAATAGCTTGTGGGCCGAAAACCTGGAACGCAATCAATTACTTGTGGGGATACATTCCTTCAAATTGATGCTGCAGATTACTGCAGTAAACATGCATCAACACCCAAAAAAAACACCCATTAACACGCATTAGCATCCATGAACGCTCATTAACCCGGCATTCACCGCCAGTTACCCATGCTTTGATGATGTCATCCCAAAATCCGTTGGCCAAACTCCCGATCTTTGGTTAAGCCAATTGGTTGGAGAATTTGGAGATATTTGGATGCAACATCTGAAACCCCAAAAATGGTCGCAATATGTCGCAATCCCGATGAACTATGTCAGACTATGTCGCTGAAGAAAATTTCTCTTCCCAGTCCTTCCCAGTCCTTCCCAGTCCGGCCTTCTCCTCCTCTTGCTTCAACAAGGCGATACGATTCGCCAAGAGTTGCGCATCCAGTTCGGCCTCGGTGAGGATTTTTTCGATCGGCCGAAAACATTGCTGCTGGATTCTGGATGGCTACCCAGTGGCTATTGAATGGCTACCAATGGCTGAAAGTGCTTGGAAAATCCCTTGGAAAATCCCATGGAAATCCGCCAAGTTCAGTCTCTTTAAGGTGCCATGGCTTCTTTTAGACAGCAATGTGAGACCATCAAATGCATAGCCCGCCCAAAATCTGGATACATCTGGATACCAGATCCCCCAGGTCTATCCCCTTTCGAGGAATGGAAAATGGAAGCAAAATAAAACAACATGCCACAGAACCTGTTTTACCACATTGATACTGTAGTTCTACAGCACGTTCTGTTCCAATTTCTTCTTGGTTGTTTGAAAACCCTCGAGGTAGTAACATGTCTGCAATACAATGGTTCCAAGTGTTGTTGAGGCAAAATGGACCTCCCAAAATGGCCAAAACTGATCCGAAAAGTCCGCTGATTTAATCACTCCCGCAAACCCCAAAAATAGACCCTCCCTTTTTTGGTAACGTTTTCAATAGCAAATGGTAAAATTGGGTACATTGGGAGTTGTTAAAAACAATCATGTTCATTCATATTCCTTATATTTCCTTATGATCTCATGGTATCTCATGGTCATTCAAATTTAGGTATGCCCACCAGCTGCCTGTCGGGACGAGCAACTCGCTTTCTCGCCTCCCTAGCGGCGGTCAAATTCGCCTGGCCCTGGAAGATTCTCGTCAGAATTAGCAATGGCATTGTGGATGTGGAACCCGGAAAAAGAATATCAAGAATGGCGCCACTTCAATGAAGTTTTCCAGTCTATAAGTCTGGGGATTGGTAGATCTTGGAAATTCTTGGAAATTCTTGGAACCTATGGAACCTATCCAGTCATGGGGAGAGTTTCAATTTTTTCAAGATTTATCCACGAACACAGGCGCGATTTCGATCCGGATTTCCACTGAAAAAAACGAAAACAGGCATGCGGGGTCAATCATTCCTGCATCAAATCAATTTTGCTATTTGAAACAGGAATTGATGTGTCATCCCATTTTGTGGAACCTCCAGCCCTAGTGCCTGCATGACACTCTGTGTGCCCTCCTGCCGTTTTCAGTGCGGAATGACCCATTGGAATCTCGTTGGAAGCGACAAAAAATGGTTTTGTCTGACAATAGGGCACCCCAAAAACCATCGGTGAATCATCATATTCCCCATTAAATTGCTGCTTCAAAACTCTCAGAAATGGAAAGGGTTTCAGCTCCTGAAGAATTGACCAGTCTCTATCCTTCCCCAGACCAGAAAAAACAATCACCCATGGAGTGCAACTATTTGACACTTGCAACCTGTCGTCATGATCGTTTCTACTACACTTTACTACAGGCTCAGAAGAACCTCGCAGATTTGCTCAAAAATGGGTACCAGTGGAGCCACACAAACTGGACATGGTTTGGATTGTAACCTAAAGCATCCACTTGGAGGCCAATACGATAAACAAGTACCGGAGTATGCTCACGATAAACATGTTCTATCATGTTCTTCCAGATGCTACGGATGATTTTCACCTCACAATTTCCAGGTGTCCAATCTTGCTAGGGTTCCCAAAAAGAATCCTATGTCATCCTACAGCCTTTATGGCTTGTGTTTCTATCAGCAAACCCCTACTATAAACCCAAGAAGAACGCCCCTTCTGTGGATTAACACAGCGACCCAACAGCAAGGGTTCCAGCTTCCAGCAAACCAAGGCTCTGTGATTTCCGGATCCAGAGATTAAAACCCAATTGGGAACCAAATCTCCAAATAGAAAATTGGTATGGTTGATTGGTGGGCTACTAACCAGCTATAATGCTTATCATGTTTTAAGTATTCCCATGTTGAATTGGTTGAAACTCAATTTTTGTTTAAAACCTGTCCAGTTTTCCATCAACCCATTTGTGTCATGAATAGTGGCAAGCCACGGTTTAACATGTTCAGCCCTTTCATGGCTCATAGAAAATTGGATCATGTAGTAAGCCCAACAATAATACATCCCATTGACAAATCTCATTCATCCCATGAACAAATCCGATAAAACATCCCACACATTCCCAATAATTCCATTAACATCCATTAACCAACCTTTTGGGATCTACCAATCATCCCATCTGTGCCACAAAATCACCATGTCCATCCATTTCCCCCATCGCAAAGGCTGCGTCCGGCGCTTCAGCCATGGCTTAGGACACGGTGGCCGCAAACCTCGGGACATCCCATGGTTATCCACGGCGAAACCACCACCTCTCCTCCAAGTGGAAGAATTGAACCTAACCTGTGATGAAACAAAGCTCTGTCATTAAGGGATGAGAATTAATGAGAATTAATTCAGCATGTCCAGAGTGATATCCCATCGGCAGAAAGCCATGCTATTTGGGCACGCTTTCAATAGCTTATCTTAGATAGCCTGCAAATATGAAAAAAAACTGGGCATATGATGTTTCATGAGGACCCCCATGAGGACCCCCTGTTCGGGCCCCATAGCCAATGCCAGTCACACCCCTTGGCAAATCGAATCCTCATGGGGAGATTCATGATGATTCATGGTTCCCCAGTTCTGCATCAAGGTTTAGCCAGACCAAGTTCCAAGGGTCCCCACGACGTTGCGGCGCGTTCGTGGCGACGCGCGACTTTTTGGCGAGTCTGAACCACAAGGTGCTGCCGTGGCCACATCGACTCGCGATGGATTCATCAACGTCGTTGGAAACCAAGCAACTTGTAGGGTAAACTGGGGGATAGACATGGGGAGACTGGGTCCTGGAATTTTGGAACTGGAGCATCTGTCGCAGTGCAAGACAGTCGGCGAGTGTGGAAATTCAAGGTTTCTCTTTAGTTTCAAGGACCGCAATGTTTCCAAACCAAGTCTTGATGTCTTGACAGCTTGGCAACCAGAAAGCCGCACTCAACTGAAAGAGAGCACTTAGAGAAACATGTTTCAAGTTTCCATAGTTAGAATGACTTGCCCAACTTGCCCAGTCGAATTACAGGCCTATTGTGATGCCGCAGAAATGCTACTGCCTTTTGGAGATCCCAGCAGCAAAAGCCACACTCAAAGCAGCCAATTGTGCTTTCCAACGAGGTCGCCACTGAGGTTAGGTCTTTTGTCAGGGTCATGGGCAATTTCAACCCAAGACACCGCGGAACACATGGCACCAATCTTTTTAGGCTGGTCTCTTCACCTTACCCACAATTGGACTGGCTCTAGAGACAACCCGTATCTCCTTCATTGGCTTCCACATGCTTCGTATGCTTCCTATTCGTCCTGTGCTTCCATGTACATGAGAGAAACACGAAGTTTTTGGCTGACTTCTTTGAGGAGCGTCACCTCGTCAGTTCGGTCGCCGCAGGTTGGCTTTTGAGCTGCAGCTTGCAACAGCTCACTCAATTGGCAGCATTTTTGCTGCAAACGAACCACATCGAGCCGCCAAAAGGACCACACATCATTCTTGCTATCCTTCCAACTCTGCAATACAGCTGTCTCCAAGCGATCAACAGCACCTTTGATGCTCGTCTCAAAGCTAACAAATCTCGCTACAGATTCACTGGGAGGCAGTGTCGAACCAAGCTCTGGACGATATTTCAAGTGAAGGTAGAACCATACTCCATGAAACAAACAGCTAAACTTCACGATACTTCACGCGAAGCCGTGCATCGATATCGTCTGTGTGAAGACACGGTCTTCATTGTCGAAAACTTCTCTCTCAATCTTTTTCAGCGTCATGGCGTCATCCTTTTCGATCGCTGTGAAGCACCAATGTGAGGGACAAAAGACTCGGATTTCCGCTCTCCCAGAGTCTCTGAGATCCCAAGAGTTGCACAACTCTGACATATTCTGACTGTATATGCGAGCAATTCTTTGGGTCTCTTTGTATCCAAACGAGGCCTGATCTGACTGTGGGTCTCTTTCTCCTGTCTATGGCCACGAGTCAAGTTACAGAAGCAATCTGTGAAAGTTTACTTTCGCGAGCAGGACTTCTTCATATAAGACTCCATCATAGGTGCTGAGGCTCAAGGTGTGCTGAATTTGCTGGCATGTACGGGAACATTCATGAAAACTTTGCAGTATAGCAACACGCATTTGAATAGGACTCGAGTTTGAGCCATTCTTTGAATCCATATCTTTCAACCAATAGGTGTAGAGCTGCAAAAACCAGGTTTGTGCAAGAAGCAGCAAGGTGGAGAGATGCGCTCGTTGGAGCTGTTTGTTGGTTTGCATGTCTTCTTGAAAGTTCAAGAGGTCCGTCAACCTGGACAGGTCGACAGCTTCAGTCAGCTTTCAAGGGAAGGATGGCGATGATACTGAGTTGACAAATCCAACAAACAAAAAGTGTTGTTTTAGTAGATCTCATGGTTGACCCTATACTGGGTCATTTCTCTGGCAGAGATAACAGTACACCATGATAACAGTAGTCATCTCGCATGTCCTGAGTCTGGCAGTACATCTGAAAATTGGGGGTCCCAAGTCCCAAAATCCATTGATTTCCACCTTGATTTCCACCGAAAACATCTAACTTCTTGAGGCACAGCCACTTAGGCCGACACCGGAAGTGCCGAAGTGTTACTTCCTTCCGCCAAGTCACCCTAGCTTCATAGGATCATCCACGTTGTCAGCAGGATAAGTCACTTCCATTTCACTAATGTACTGTAGCTGGAACAAATAGCCCACAGTCTCCCTGAATGAATTGTCCAAGCCAAGCTGAAATGGAGTCGACTCCAACCTGTCTTGCTCCACAGCTCCAGTGTGGTCGGGCGAAAGCGCGGCGGGCAAAAATGAGGCTCATGATATCTTCGCCACATTCCTGAGCTATCCTGAGCTCCAATGCCACTCACCTGCACTTTGATAACATCGTCCTGGGTTAGAAATCTGGCACGGGGACGTCTGCCCTAACGACAGAAGTAAGTTGGCTGCTGAACCTCTGGTAGGGATAGAAGAAGTATTTCCAGTGCTGACGTTTTCCTTGTTTCTGTCTGTGAAACAGGCACCAAGACCTCGTAAAAGTTTCATCAACATCATCACTGCAAGACTGAAATTCCTGGGATCTTTCTCTCCGATGCGATCCGTGGCTGGCCACTGAAGCAGCTATCACAGAAAAGGAAGAGTGCCTCGGAAAAGTTGTCCCTTCCAAGTTCAATCCACATATTGGCAATTGCATCAAAATCCAGCTGACCACCCTGCAGTTTCCATGCACCATCCGCCTGACCATGAAAAATGCCAAAAATGAAATAGTCACCCAAAGCTTGAGACAAAAAAATCCAGTCATCTCGGCATCCTGGATGCTCTGGGCTCGACAAGCACATCCACCTTGAAGTGCAGCCCAGGTGTTCTGAATCACTTCTAGCCGCCAAGTCACGCTCTCCTTCGCTGTAACACGACAAGATCAAAGCACCAGCACCAGCAGCCGGACTCAGAGCCATGGCAGATCGGCGGCATTACGAACAATACGCTCTCCTTCGCGTCCATGAGACCAACCTGACCAAGGCGCAGCGCGCAGCTCCTTTCTGACAGTTCTATGTCTTTGGGCCTAGCGGACCATACCAAATTGATGACCCATGCCCATGTCAGATGAGAGACACATCCTACAGGAGCCTGCAAGAATACAGTCCATGCCTTGACAACATTATGGCTGCAACTATCACAGAATTTGGTGGCCGTTGGTTCAGCTGCAAATTCCTGCTTTCAACAATCACCTGTATCTTCGGCTTCGGTATAGCCTTAACACCAAGCAGTATAGGATCTATCCAAAACTCGGGTTGCCTACAAACCGAGTTGTGAAACCCTCACTGGTGCATCTTCTTTTGGACTTTCCAACATTCTCAATCCGTCTGAAAATGATAGTGATACAGTGATACCCATAAAAGTGTTGTTCTTTTGACATATGATTCACCGTAAGAATTTGAGGCTATCCATGGCTATCCATGGCTATCCCATAATTCAAATCTTCGCATTTTTTCGTCGCCGTGCTCTGGCAGCTCTGGCAATTCTGGCAGCTCCAGTCCACGCAGGACTGAGCACTGCGCAGCGCAGTCGTTATATGTACTTCCAACAGTCGTCCAATTGGAGCGGTTCCCAGTCACAACAACCCCAGTAACAAAGGTCTCGGGGCTCCACGAAGCCTCGTGCAACGGAGCAGAAGAGAGTTTTCCCCATTTGCTCAGGGCGACAGAGCGACCCAAGAATTCCGAATTCCCGGAAAAGTAGATCAAATACAGTACAAATACATATGAAATAGGTCAAAATAGGTCAAAATTGCCGAATTTGACTGGGTTAACGGAAGAATGGGCTTAGGGGAGGCGTGAGTTTTAGGGCATACCGTAAGGTGGTTGCCAGGCCAAATCGGTCTCTGTCTGTACCACTTGATAGGGCCAAAAAGGTGGAATAATTTGGCCATGCGTTCAAAGATTTGAATTTTGTGAAATCATAACTTGAACCTCAGTTAGGAGAGGATTCACTGAACCCCTGGCCACCAAGGGTTTAAGGTTTAATTACAATCTTTGAGATCAAGAATAAGATAGAAACGGAGCAATTGGTCTGAAAATAAGGCATATTCTTGTTCTCCATCTTTTCATGGCCCTAAAATAGGACCCCAATTCCTATCCCCATGCCTTATAGTGTTAAATCCCAGTTTCCCTGGTGCCCATCAATCACATTGCCAGGCAGGTTCCCCCGACTGCCTGGCCTGCCTTTCAAAAACGCTCTTTGATGGTGAACCGGTCCCAGAAAGTGCAAAGACCACCCAGCAACCAACAAAAACATGTGGGTCACCATGTATCAGCTCAAGATCCACAAATCAAAGTAACCCACCATTACATCTCCGATCATCTTCGATCATCTCCGATCATCTCCATCTTTTTCGGCACATCTCCGATCACCTCCATCCTATTCCATCCTATTCCATCCTATTCCCTTTTCCCAAACGCATCCGAATCACCCCGTAACTGGCCCTTCAACCTTAGCCCAGTTTGAGTTCCCCAGTGGTTCCCAGTGGTTCCCAGTGGTTCCCCGCCTTGCATGCGGAAGCGGTGACCCACACTCTTGCAGCACTTGATGTATCTAGCATTGCTGGCGAAGGAGGGCGGCGGCATCGGCACTGGGAGCGAGTCATTGCAGATTTCTTCCTGAGTCAGGGTCCGAACTCAAGGCGCGTCAAGGCGCGACGACTTCTTGGTCGACTCACCCTCCAATCTTGGCACTCTTGCAAAGGCTGTAAACCTTCCATACATTTGGTTTTGAGAGTAGAGAACTCTCAAAACCAAACCATTCTAGCTCATGGTTGATAAAACTTCATTTTCTAGATGAAAATTGCTATGAATTGGGGTATCCTCCATGTTTATCGATTGTTTATCCATGTTTGGCATAGCTTGCAACAAAGCCTCGGAAAAGCTGGCGTTGAATCTGTCCTTCAAATATGTCCGCGCCAGCGCGACCCTTTGGCGACTAGTGAGCATTCCCGCCCAGTGGGTGATGAGTGGATTCATGATTTTGGCATGTCGGCTGTCCAGGAACATGTCCTTCAACTTGAAGCCGTGGTTCCAGAAGATGTCCTCGATGGGCACATGGGTACAACCAGGAAGCCTGTTTGTCTTCGTGGATTGAAAATGCTGTGACAAAGTTGTTGTGTAACTTATGGGCTCCACCCAGGCAAAGGGAGGGGGCACTTTGACCCAACCTCAACACCCTGGGAAAGACAACTCAAAGAGACCGCATGGGCGTTTCCAAACAAAATGGGGGGAGCCCCACCACAACGGTGTATCTGCCTATATGTAATCATATGAGTTATGGAGTGTGGATCCAAATGGATATATGATAAGCGCATAGATAGAGACAGAGAGACAGAGAGAGAGGTGCATAGGTCTTTGGTTGGGGAACAATGCACCCTTCTTTACTGGGAGGAAAGGTACCCAATTGTCTGGCCACAGTCTAAGCATCGTTTGGGACGAAGTTCACGTCCACATGCTCCGGATCCAGAAAGGAAACCAGGCGACTGCTGCGTTGCCGATAGGGTCCAATCATCTCAGCCAGCTTGGCTTGCCAACAGTCGCAATACATGGTGTCTGGGACGATGCCGGACAGAAATGGAAACAGGTAGCGCACACACTGGGAGTTGTAACCTGGCCTTGCAAAAGTGTGAGGTGTGAAGAGTTTCCGTCAAGATTTCGAAGTGTAGATTCAGTGTAGATTAATTCCTAATTCCTCACAGTATTTTATTCCTCAAATGTGTCCAACAGAATTCCCAGCAAACCTGGTGTGACAGCCGGCATCAAGCAGGACTGGATCATCAAAGTGGTGGCGATTTGGCGGTCTGTTTTGAAGTCAGTCAGTCTATATGTCCCAAAACAAAACGAACTGATGTTGTCCTGAAGCCTTTAAAGTCCATAGGACCCCACAGAATGTGTTGTTCAGGAAATCAGATGACGTAGAAGATGTAAAAGTATTTCAATTTCTAATGATCAAAACATGCGACAAACTACCCATTGTTTCCCAGCATCATGTTCGTCTGGAAAAAAAAGACGGCGACGGGATCACCGCCCAAATCTGGGCAAACTCCAGCTGCTCAGCTGCTGAGCCCGGCCTTCCGAGCTCTTCCATTTCCATACCCACCAGCTCCAGGATGGATTCTGCAAAGAAGTTCTGGTCCCAGAACCTGGCACTTGACCGAGTGCCGTTTGGTGTTGAAACATGTCGAAACATAATGGAAAAGCAGAAAGACAACAAGAGGTGGCTTGAGATGAATCACAGTTCTTAGAGTTCATTCAAACAATGTAAGTCATGTTTCTCTCATTCGACTTACATTCAAATTAAGTCACGTGTGCTAACCCAAACGATGTCGACTTTCGGTGTCACTTCAATCCGATTCCATCCCTGAACACCAACGGATCGATTATCATCCGGCTGCGGGTCCTACGCTGGATTGACAAGGATGAACATGAGGGGAGCACCATGTCCAACAGGGAAAAAACACTGGGTGTTACACCCTAGTTAATCAACATTGGTTTATTCGTCACGTTGTTCCATGTTGAAACCCATGTTGTTCCATCATTGTTCCATCAATGAAACCGCCGGGTCAAGCTACATGGACCAATTGGTCTTTTGCTTCCACAGCTGCAGGATCCGCTTGGAGACTGCGGTGTTGCGAAAGCCCAAGAAGCCAGTGTTCACACACTCCGTCCTGCCAAATTCATAAAATGGCTTGAAAAGGATGCTTTGAATGATGTATAATGATGTGAATGATGGTTGAAAAAAGTGCGCTGTCTTTGGAACGATGCTACACAGCCGGCAAGGCTTCCTCAAAAGTTGTTGGATTGTTAAAATTTGTTGAATACATTTAAATGCTGAACGTGTTCAGAATCGGTCCCTGATTCAAGTTTGACTACCCATTCGGTGATTTCACGGGTAGTTGGGTGAGTTTCACGGCCAACTTCACACGCCATTCCACAGCCCAAGGTCCCTGTAAAGGAGTCGCGCACGAAGATGTGACCAGACTCATTCCCTGGGCAAAGTGCTATGGGAATTGGTCCAATAGATCGGTTTAAGCTTGCCAGAAAAAAAAAAAACTATGATAATTTTATGGGATGCTTTACCCAATTGGCGATATTTGAGCGTGACCCTTTTCCATATTCAGGATGCCGGGCTGGAGTGGAGCGGTACCATCTCCATAAAGTCTTGGACTTTGCTGGTGATTGTTCAGCTGCTGGTCATTCAATTCCCTTTACTTGTCAATATACCGGCTGCGCCTCTGGTGAGAAATGGCACCAAGCCCCACTCCCGTGCATCGGGCCGCAGGGTCATATCTGCATCCAGGTAGATTACCATGTCGACGCTTTCGTTGGCCAATTCCTGGCTCTGGAATTGCGGAACAAAAAAATGACTGTTTGGCCGTTTGGCCAAAAAATGATGGGTCGGTTTGGTCCCATTTTCATCCATCTGGGATCATCTTCGCTGCTCAATTTAGGAACAAGAAGCACAATCTCTTGACCATTTTGGAACCCACAAAAATCAGAGAAAAATCAGAAAAGTTGAAAAGCCAGAAGTATCTCCGAGAACAACCAGGAGTCTTGTTCAATGGCCCAGATTTTCGCATACATCTTGGAAGGATCTTCGTGGAAGACATTCAGCACATCCGCATTGTAGGCCAAAAGCTCGGCGGAACGGCCCAGGCGTCGCCGTGTGATGAGGTCGTGCAACAGGAAGTGCAGGTCCTGATCCCGGGCATTCCAGGCCGCAGAGGCCGCAGAGGCCGCAGCGGGCCGCTGAGTGGTCCAGAACTGGTGCAGGTTCCACATCTTGGCTGCTTCGAAACAAATGGACACCCTGATACACCCTGGCTTAGTGTGGAATCGAATCTAACTAATCTAACTAATCTAACTAATCTAATCCCATTTGGGATCTGTGGAATCTGTGGAATCTGTGGAATCTGTGGAATGTGACATTTCAATGTCCCACTTGGTAAAGGGTCCATGTTAAAATCAAAATCCGCCAGGATTCCAACTCGACAATGGCCACCTTCTCATGTTTCACCGGCCACGGCCCCGCCACGGCCGCGAAACGCATCTGGCGCTTGGCCGCATAGCACTCCAGCTGCCGCAGGAAGGGTGCCACGTCGCGGCGCTCGAAGTAGCCCGGGGCGTGGGCCGCCAGCAGCAGAACTGAAGATTCTTCGGAGGCTTCAGACAACCTGCACCGAAGGATGCAAGGATGGATGGATGGAAGGTGGATGGAATGCTTGAGATGGAAAATTTGGGATTTGGGAACGGTTGCTTTGCGCGGAAAGGTGTCGATGTAATTTTGGGGTCACACGAAAAAATAGGAACTTTGGGATTTCGAAATGTTCAGTCAATAAAGCATGAAACGCCGCTTTCGGGACCCCATTCTCTGGTATTCTTCCTTCAACCAACACGGAGACCCCAATCTGCATGTAGCTCAGAATGGCACAGCCATACAAATTTGGTAGTTTGACGTGTGAAACATCCAATTTTCCAGTGTACAATAATGATAACGAACTATTTTCATCACTATCATAATTATCATGACATATCATGACTGTTATTGTTCGTGATACTTCCCAAAAATCATCCCATCCTGGCCATCTTCCATCACCTTCCACTGAAGTCAGTCTTCTGCATGAGCTCGGCACGTCTCAGGTCCATCATCCTGCCACCTATGTGGTGCCACAGCGACATCCAGACCTCGCCAGGGATAAATCCCAGCACAACTTGTGGTTTTACCAGCACTCTAACCAAATGAACATTAGGATGAAAAACATTCTATATATTCTATTTGTGTGACAAAATCAATGGACAACCATGCAAAACCAACGCACAATTCATCGATTGGAATATAAACAGTTCCAAGCAGGCCAAACATCAGGCTATGAACCAAGCTTTTACCAAGATTGACATCCCAACTTCAGCTTCGCCAAAAACTTCCAGCTTTCCAAATCTGTATGTCCTTGGTGGCTAAACGCCATCCAGTTGTAAACTTTTTCAAAACAACACCTTCAAAGTAGGGGCAAAACCAACGCAAGAATCCAACTTTGTGAGAGATCGAGATCTTGTTAACGACAGCTTCTGGTTTTTGTCGTGGGCCCAAATAATTTCCCCGCAGAAACCAGTTTCGGGTGGATCACTGGTTTTCTCAATTCTCAATATCTGCGCATTTTTGGTTACATCTATCAGCTCCCTTTGTGCACCTTACTGCTCCTGGGGTGGGACTTGACATGGAGCGTCGCCATGAAGGACCACAGTTGACTACATCGATCCACACTGCTACAGTTCACCAGCTCTCTGGCCATCAGCAGCAGGCTACGGCGGTGCCGTTTGGGTGTGCCAGGGTCCACCAAACTCAGCAGCTGGCGTTGGTCGTTGCTCCAGCTGCTCGAGCTGCTCCAGGGCAGGACATCGTGCACCGGCAGTTCCAAGGCGCACAGGTCACAGATCTGGCTCCAGTCCAGATACACCGGCGTCGCCATGGCGATATGGCGGCAACCGTCACATGGGCGAAGCGATCTCAGATCTTAGGGATCATATGGGATAATATGGGATAATCCATGATCCAACAAACCCTGAGAGAACTGCGAGATTTTGAAGCTTCCGACTTTGGGGACAGACTATGTCGGTCATGTGTCACAAAGAAATGATCCACTCTGCGATATGACGTAGCTGGAGCCGAAAGGGATCAAAGCATGAGTTGCTAGCAAACCAGGCTGTCAGCAAAGAACTGAGAGATTTGGATTGGCTACCCATTCCGCCTGCGAAGTTACATAACGGGACCTACAATACCTGCTGGTCCGAGACATCAAGAGCGCTGCCCAAAACTTTCAAAACGGGGCAAATGGATTGATTTAAAAGCTATGAATCCGGAGTTGCCAATGATTTCAAAGGCCTAACCCATCTGAAGTTCGCATCCAACTTCTGAGGTACTGGGAAACCATGGTGCTGGGTTTCTGAAATTTTCTCACCAAAAGTTGGAGGCAGCTATCCAAGATTATCCAAGCACCATTTCAAAATTTCAGGTCTCTAAAACCAAAAAGGGAGCTGATGGCTGGAGCTTCATCCTATCGGTCCGTGTTCAGCGGTATGGTAGGCATGACCCCCCGCGGCTCAGCCCAAGTGTAGAGTAGTGTAGATATCAACCGTCCATAAACCGTTTGCACTTTGCACAGAGAAAAAAGATGAAAAAAGCGTGTTCAAGCTGCCATAAGTTGCGCCTTAAACTGCGAAACTTATGCCTGGCTCAGCCAGGTTGTGGTCCATGATTCGGTGTTCATGAAGTACATCTCTCCGTTACTCAGTACATCCACCCGGGCGCTGAAGTGCTGCTGATTCCATTGATTCCATTTTCATGGGCAAAGCGATGCAAAGCCCAATTCCCTGGTAATGTTCGTAAAACCATGTAAAACCATAATATACCACCACTATTTTGACAATATCATTATAGCTATATTATAGCTATATCTAGTAACTTATCAGGTTGCCAAATCCAACTGACATGATCTGATCGTTCATAATTCTGCATTCTGCATATGGCTAAGCAACTAAGTAGTCGGGGTGAACATCTCTCCACAAGTTCCCGATGTTTTTTCGATGTGGCACACAGGCCATACAGGCCTGGAAAATAATCCCCAATTTTTGTTTCGCAGTTCAAGATAGATCGACATAGTTCAACCAGCGAAATGACCTGTTTGTGGCTGTGTCCATGGCCCTGTCCTGCAGATTCATGTTGAAAATCAAGCGGTTGGCCTTTGGACGACAAGCCTCTGGAAGCTGGGCGATGAGGACATTCTGCGCACCATCTTTAATCATGCCTTGAAGCACGCAGATGTTATCCATCAAGACCTTGGTTGTTTTTTCGCGTCAAGAATGGAAGGGGGGTGACAATCACCAGAACAACAGCCAGAAACAGCTAGGGTGCAAAAAGCGGAACTTTGGAGCTTGAGCCCTTCGCGTCAAGCAAGTTTCACGTTTTACATACAGTTTGAAACAAAGTTGGTGTGTTTTTTTTAGTACTCGACCCACCAAAATCGACGAATTTCAAGTAGTGAAACCTTTTTGCGGCTGCATCTCAGGATTAGAAAGAAAGATGTTGAACTTTTGCTCATTTTGATTGGCGAGGCACATATTTGGCCTTGCCGTAGTCTCCACCATAGTGGCTCCAACCATTCTGCAGATCCAGTCTCACTGCGTTGGATTCATCTGGAACCAAAAAAATGCTGGATAAAGTCACCTCCACAAGAGTTGGCACCTGAGCAAAAGCCGAACTCAGATTTGAAAATCACAGGGAGATGACGGCGAATTCAAACTGTTCATGAGTTTCTGATCATGGAATTTAGACTCCATAGACATGGACCGGGCCGCTGATGCAACATATAAACATACCGGTGCTTCTTACACACCTGTAGACGCCTTATCAATCTCTACGTGAACCCAGAAGATCTCCCCGCAATTTCTGCCCACGTCACCGGTATTGGTGCCGCCGGTGCCAGTGCCGTTCCCAGCCATTCCAGCCTGGGATTGATTTATTTTTCACACTGCATGATGTAAAACCAGCTGCACCAAGCAACATCAATTCTTTCTGGGTCTGTTCCTGTCTGCTCGTCAGCAACAAATGAAAGTGCGATCGAACCTACCCCTGTCTTGCTAGCGAATGGCTAGCAGCTAGAATGAAGCCTGTAGTTCTGTAGTTCAGAGAAAAACTACGCAGATCCGCCTGTGACTCCAAATTCGAAAACCTCTTCCGGGCCAGGTGTGCTGTCTAGGCTGTAGAATCTGTAGACATGACTTCGGACGCCCAAAACTGCAGAATGGCTACGCATGATTCAAAATGATTCAAACAGGACAGAAGGAAAGCTCATTAAAGATCATCCACTGGATATGACGGAGCTAATGCCGGAACTTCAAGCATGCCACTGGTCAGCAATGCCACGCGCTGGGTCGTGCTGTCCCCAGAGATCATGTTGAAGATCAGCTTTGCCATGCTAGTGCTACCGGTGATACCCCCGAGCATCAGTCCTACCAGAGGGAGGAAAAGGTCCCAATAAAAAAGTCCCTTGATGTGAAAGAACTTCAAAGAACTTCAAAGAACCTGGCACAAAACCTGCAAATCATCCCCTCTCTGTCCAACTGTGATCAAAGTCAACAGCTCCCAGGCGCTTCGAAGGCGGATGTCATTGTCGGCTGTCCTTCCACTGAGCAAATGCCATTGCGCTTCGTCACATCCAGCCCTCCCCTGCGGGGATCAAAATCATTGCAACACGATTGTGTCATGTGGGGTCAAAAATGTCAAAAAGTTTGATTAAATCCACCACAAGATAATTGATTGCAATCCCACCCCCCATAAAATTCGTGGACAAAATAAGTCATGAATATCTGCATATTCGTCATATTCTATATATAAAAAGATGCCTCTGCCGACAAGACTCCAGCCGTTCTTGGGCGACAACTTGGTTTTCCCGAAGTCCGGAGCAAAACGGAGTCCAGTGAGGCTCAACATGGCTCAACCAGGACCATTTTGTTTGGCCCGCCACAGCACTTTACCGGCGTCACATCCACACGGTGTGGGTACCTCTCAAATGGATCGTCAAAATACCAGAAATGGATAGAATTTGCATAGAAAACAAGCAGAAACAACAAGGCGTGAAAAGATGTATACCTTTTTGAATGGGTTGCAGGAGCATCACTTGAAAATCATGTTGTGAACTTCAAGGATTATCCGAAAATGTGCCGCGGTGGGCATGTTAAGGCAACACAACCTCAACCAATGTGGTCATGCTCACAAGTTTGACCCTCCTTGGCTGTTGTCGATCTGGACAGTGAAAATCTGTTCAAAAATCAGCAGAATCACAAAATTAAGGCTTGGTCCACTTCTCTATTCATCCCAAGATACAATACAATGGCACCTCAAAGCTAAACAATGTGGACCCACAGTAAGCTGCTACATGTTTCTACTATATCATATCCGTTATGAAGAACTTGCCAGTCTTACCATAAACAAACTTGTTTCGTTTCAACCAGCTCTTCACAGGTCTTCCCAGGTCTTCCCAGGTCTTCCGAGCTACTTCTGGTGGTTCACACTGAAGCTGAGCCGTTTGGTGGGTCGACATCCCTCGGGCAGCGTGGCCAGCTGCTCACCGGCCGCAAAGCTGCCACCCTTGAGGCGCGCATCCACCAGGCAGAAGCCGCTGGTCATGTAGAACGTGGCATCACCAAAGGCAGTGTTGTCCTTGGAAACATAGGAAAATGATGGGAACATGTGGCAAACTGTGGCAAACAACTCCCAAGATTTATTTCAGCATCAAGCTACGTTACATGTTTTGGAAAAAAACAACCAAAACAAGCAACGAAAGGGGACCTGGAAAGAAATGGACGGATTGAATTCGGGAGATGATCCGTGTCCTTAACCCAGGATACGATGAAGGCCATTGCCACAAACCTCCACTTGGGCTTGGGGGCTTGGGTTATACGAGTGATGCTAGTGATACCATCAATCTTGGCAAACTGAAGTCTCAACTCTTAAGTATGGATGGGATGCATGGATTGCATGGATCTTAAGATTCTGTCGCATTTTGTCATGGCTATGGCCAGTCATCAAGATTGCGCAGTCAAAGACTTGGTGCCTAACCATGCCTAACTGTTAGAAAGATGGAAGCCATTTACCAAACATTCACCAAGATTTGTGTTTGTATCAGCCAAGCATGGGAGGATCATTTCCATAGTGGCACCGTCCTTGGAAAAGAATGGAAAAGGGGTAAAGGGTGGAGGTAAATGTGCCCATTGCCAGATTAAATTGCCAAAGTGTCAGTGGTTTCAAAATCGGCCCACAAATGGTACAGTAACTGGTGCAACATCTCCAAACAGACCTACATTATGTTGGTTTTTTCAGGAGCAAAACTGAAATATGGCACCAATGATCATGGCGTGATGCTTTTCCCCACCGCATGGCAGGTGTCAAAATTGAAATCTCCTCAATCTGTAGATGAGGTGGTGGTTTTTTCTCAACACCATGCCGTTTGCCGGGTGCCCAATTTTGAACCATTCCCATGTACAAGCAAAGCAAAAATAGATACTTGGCAAAACCCATCATGGGAAATTGTGGAAACTGGATCGCAAACCATGCCTATCTTTACCATTTTCTTTGGACTATGCGCAAAATCAGATCTACCAACATTGCGGGCAACTTCATGGACATCTCCCAACAATTCCCAACACTGCAAAGCTTCGGAGTACCAAACCCCCACTGTGGGCAGGAACCGCTTCCCATCACTTGGAGCGCTGAAGATGATACCGGACAGGCTGATGCTTCCTTTGGCGCTGGTGTCCGTGTGGTAGGACACCTGGCAATGCATCCTGGCCCTCGGAAGCCCCTAGAAAAACAACGGAACATGGAATAGAACATGGAATCCAAAAATGGGAAATCCCTAGTGACAGCATCCTTCACATATCCACAGAAATTGGTTATCTCAGACTTGGATGGTTGAAAAAACAAATATGAAAAATCGATGAAATTGATTGGGGGGTACACCAACTCATAGCCATTCAGCCCTTCAACGGCAGCTTACTTAACCCTTCACCGTGCCAGTGCGGCACCTCGCCATACTGATTGACATCCACGTGGATGGGGCCGTTGTACAGGGCTTTGCTGAAGATCAGTTTGCGCATGGGCCAACACTCCACCGGAAGGGTCGTCAAGGTTCCTCCACCACTCACTATGTCACCTGGTAATCTGTCAACGCGCCAACGGCGGAAAATGCGGGCAGCAACATCCCCCGAAAAGATCCAAAGAGGACGTCCATGTCATGGAATTGTAGTGGATACGGGAGGGCGGGATACAGAACCCTTCAACAAAGTGTGAAATTTGAATCACACCAAGTACTACTCAAAAATTCTCCGCAACTAGGCACCATTAATTCGCCCTTCCAGCAAACAATAGCCATGCGCCATGCTGTAGCTGGGAGTGCCATAGTTTCCATCGCCGGCGTTGCTCACCCAGCCGCCTGCTAAGGTCAGGAAGCTGTCAGCTTGCCGGGTGGAGAAAACGATGCCCGAGAGGCTCTTATTTAGGTTTGGTTTTGGGTTTATTTGGGGGTGGTTTAGGGTTTATTGAGGGTTGGTTTATCGTGGGTTTAAAATCTGTTAAGGGTTGGATTAAGGTACATGTAGAGATAGATAGATGGTTTGGATTCGATTAGATTAGATTAGATAGAATAGAATAGACAAGAATAGAATAGAAGAGAAGAGAATAGAACTAGAATAGAATAGAATAGTATAGAATGGAATAGAATAGATTAGATTAGGTTAGAAGTAGAATTAGAATTAGAATCGGAATTAGAATTAGAATAGAATAGGATAGGATAGATAGATAGATTGAATAGATAGATTAGATTAAATAGGTAGATTAAAAAGATTAATTAAATAGATAAATTAAATAGACAGATTAAATAGACAGATTAAATAGACAGATTAAATAGACAGATTCAATGGACATATTAAATAGACAGATTTAAAAGACATATTAAATAGATAGATTAAATAGATAGATTAGGTTAGACTAGATTAGATTAGATTTGATAGACTTGATAGATTAGGTAGATTAGATAGATTAGATAGATAAGATAAAACAAGATAAAACAAGATAAAATGATATAAGATTAGATTAGATTAGGTTAGATTAGATAGATAGATAGATAGACAGATAGATAGATAGGTAAAGCATGGTAAAGCCACAAAAGCCACACACACACACCCACAAAAGCCACAGAAGCCACAAAGCCAGGCTGGAAAACAAAAAAAAAGAAGCAAACAAAAATCCCGAAAAAAAAAAAAAAACTCCATATTAAAACATGCTGAAACCACCAATCAGAAAACAATCAATCAACCTCCACTTGCAGCAATTGACACAGACAGGAACACCCACCGAATATGTAGCTTCCCCGTGGGTTTGCCATATTCTTCGTTGATTTGCTCAAAGGTAAAGCGGCATGAAATTGCCAACCGGCGAGCGCCACTACAGGTGGATCACAGCAACCGCCCTTGGTCGAGCAGCCATGGCAGACACGATGACACACACAAAGAAGATGCGCTCTTCTTCCTGGCGTCAATCGAGGGACCACCAGCATATGGGTATTGGATGGTATGATGTTATGGGTCAAAGTGCCGTTGTTTTCAATCTGTCTCAACAAGTGATGAATTGACGGATCGTATCCTGTAGTTGTTGATTTCATTGGTTGCATCCCATTATTTTGACATGGCCTGACATGGCAGTGTGTCAAACCAAATGACCTGGAACCTAGGATTGGAATCTGTATGTTCAATATTCACTTTGAGTATACCCCAAATGTATGATATATTCATATAGATTCCTAAACATGGATTTCGATAGTGCATTCAGGTAAAATTTGTTGGAATCAGATGTGAAATCATCCACACGCATACGGTAGCTTGTCAACATGCTGGTCAAGTTACACGGGATGAACAGGGCATCATCACCAAATCATGGAAATCCTTATGGGTATCTATGAATCCTTAACAGATTGATGACCATCCCCTATGGCAAAATAAACCTTTTGACGATGACACATATAAGCTTATGGGTACGCCAGTATGGACAACAAGTGGAGCATTGACTAGCCATTCACCTTGTAGTTTGCCATTGTTTAGACTCTTAGACTCATTTGTTTGCTGCTTGAAGCCCCACCTCTGACCGTGACGCACTCCAAGACTTAGTTACAGTACGATGTTTACAACCACAAGTTGTGCCAAGACACCAAATGAGCATTCAATGGCCATTTCAAGGCTTTATTATATAGATAAATGTATATACTATTTTAAAATATATGTATGATATATATATATACATATATATAGAGAGAGAGATAGTTATACATATATATATATATTATATATTGTAGATAATACCATTGTATTCCAAATAAATGTGTATATATATATACTATTATTATTATTATCATTATTATTTTTATTTTTATTATATATTAAATATTAAATATTAAATTTTATATCTTATATATTTTATATTATATCTTATATTTTATATGTGATATATTATATAATAAATATTATATATTATATATTATATATTATATATTATATTATATATTATATATTATATATTATATATGATATCTTATATATTATATATTAAATCTTATATATTATATATTAAATCTTTTATAATATATCTTATATCTTATATATTATATATTAAATCTTATATAGTATATCCTCTATATTATATATTATATATTATTTATTATTTATTATATATCATATATGAAATATTATATATCATATATTATGTTTTATATATTATATATTAGATATTATTTTTTATATATATAAATTTGTCATGTAATGAATATTAGATATGATATCATGTAATATAATATAAGATGAACATGGCCGACAATGACTGGGATGATGGCATAAATTTATGAGGATAAGAATGCAGGATGATGTATGCAAAAATAGTGCCCCCAAAATGGAAGCCCTTTAGCACCAAGAAACAGCATAAAAACTTCTATCACTCAGTAGCAGCGACCATTTAAGGAGGGCCCCGCCCGAGGTGAAGACTGTTTGATCGAAAAGTAACTCCTGTACCCTCCTCTGCTGGGTGGAAAATGTACTAAACCAGGGAAAACTAAGGCAGGCAGCATATACACATATCACAAAATATCAGACGTGTATTACTGTGTTTTTTCTTTCCTTATGATCGACATGTTGAATGCAAATTAGTTGCAACATCAACCAGCTCCCGTCCTGCAAATGCCACCCTTCAGCGCACGGATCAAGCCAAAGACCAGCAGCACCCATACACCATTGCCCAAGCGAAGGGGGCTCATGCCTGGCAGAACGGAAAAAAATGGTGATTCAAAACATGTTAGAAAAAATGGTGGTTTCCTATTGCAACCAAGTGGTGGCTTCAACCTCTGAGATGATCGTCATTGGGGATCATCATTTGGGATCATCATCACAGTCGCATTTTTGTATATGGCTGAGAATAACAAATATGTACATGTACATATATATATATATATATACATATTATATTCAATAATATCTTCAATAATATGGTCACTTGGGGTCATTGTCCTAGGATGGAAGGGTCAGAAATGTCTCGAAATAGAATCAAAATTTGGTTCCTGGATTACATATCATATACAGTGCAATATGCATGTGTCAATGTCCTGTTCTCTGCGGGTTCATCCCTAAACTCAGCCATGGTCCCCACTTTCATGGAAAGTGCCTTCTTGAGACGGCTCATAACTCCCAGCCTCAAAGTGCAGTGTCAGTGGTTGATAGCCCGAGGGATCAAATTCAGGAATGTCAAACGTGCATGGTAAGGGTTCAACCATACTTACTATGCGGTTCTTATCTTACCATGCCAAACCTGTATGAAACTCCGTATGGTAAAAAAGATGCACACCTTCTGGACTCACTTTCTTGTCTCGTTCCGTCTGCCTTAAGCCTTCTCACAGTTCACTTGAAGGTTTCCAATAGCGCGTGCTTCAAGAACAAGTGGTAAGCAAAAACGAGGCCGAAATCAGCAAAGTATGAAAAATTTGCTTGAAACATCTTGAATCACCTGCAGACAACCTGTGGACTGGACTGGTTTCATATTTCATCTATTTCCTTAGAGGTAATTTGATGTTGATTCAGCAAGAGTTGCATCGCAACCACATTGAAATTGGAATGCAACACTTCAGCCATGGATAAAATTTCAGAACAGTCCCCACGCTGGACTTTTGAAGCTGTGCAAATGGCCTGGGCAACGCCACCAATTCCATCGAACTCTTCGCAGTCAGCCTCAAGCTCCTCGACCTCATCTCCCTCTTCGGGCAACTTCGTAAGCGATGAGTCTCGCCTGCATAGAAACAGAGTTTCAGAAGGGAGGCGGCAGTTGCGATGCATTAGCCAGCTGCTAGACCACAATTAAGTCATAGATAGTCTTCGCAATATATGCAATATGCTCTTGACTCAGAGTCGGGAGTTAGCATGTTTTCTCACAAAAACATTGCCACTAAGTGTCAGTTTTGATCTTGAAACCACCGGCTCAAAGCCTGTTCTTATCCTTGTTGGACTCTTCCTCTGTGGGAGCCACTGGCAAAAGGTCCTAATTAGGAAGGATCCCACAGACAAGGCCTTGTCTTTATTCAGTCAAAAGGAGAAGGCTTAGATGATCTAAATAAAATCTAATAAAGTAACAATGACTGCGCAAATTCTGAAACGAGGATTGAGAAGTCACGCTGTTGTAATTGAACCCCTGAATGGTAGCTGGAGGGACATGTGGACCGTAGACAAGCGGCCACAGTGGCAGCCACAGCTGAAAGCATTCTTATACTTGAGAGCAGGCGGAGGCGGACGAAAGGTAGTGTAGTGGGAGAGGAGTGGTGTCAAAATGCTGCGCCCCTAAGATGATACACCAAAAACGTTTTTGCGCAGTCTAAGATGATTTTATCCAGAGCATGACTGCATGATACGGTGTCTTGTGCAGCGTGAAATGATGCACGAAAAGGGGTTTATTTAAAACCCCTTTTTAAGACCCCTTGCAGCAACTGTTATTGAGGCTGAAGCATACCAATTATGCTGGACTACAGGGACATCTCCCTCATGGAAAGTGTGCCTCTAATGTGGGGGCCCGTGACCGCGTCACCCGTGGGAATTGAACCCATGACCATTTTCGGGGGGGGGGGGCCCCCCCTTATAATTGATATCCAATACATAACGGCGAGAATTCCATGAATTCCGTGGGCTGGCCCCCCAATACCCCCTAAGCTTGTGCTGAAGCACGGAGAACTCAGGTAGCTGACGCTACCTTTCGTGATAATTGTAGCTGACTTGAGAAGGATGCAACATTTACTGTAACTTGAAAAATCCACAACTTCCTGAGTTCACCGCTCTTTCAAACATTGCTCCAGGCATTGAAGACCTTGCATTCTGAAACAAAAGGACTTCAACTTCTTTGGGACAGGAAGTTTCTGAAACTGGGAGTCTGACAGAGGCACGCTGGCCTCAAAGACTGGACGCTGGCGGTTGCCCCTTTCGCAATCCAGCTGCTCAGCAAGCTGCTGTGCCAGCTGTGAAAGAAGCACAACTTGGACAGCCGGCTGCAAATGCCTCAAAACAGGCAAGAACGGCAGGCGAGAAGGAGACAAAGAGATGTTGACATCCATCGAACAAACCATATCAAATCAAATATTCGGCTAAGAAGCATCCATGCTTCCAGCTTGGCATTTACCAGCCGTGCCCACGGGCGCCAATCATGCGCAATCGACATCATGACGAATGTCTCAGGTCTGTGCAAAATTCTAGAAAAACATACGGACAGCCCAATGAAACACCTGCTTACCCTGTTTGGCTGTGTCTTGCAGCGACTGCAAACCACTAGGCACTAGTCAGACTATGCATCGATGATTTACAACTCCATGAAAATGTCATTGCCGCTTGCAAAGTTAAAAACTGGAGCTGTGAAAACCGGTTTCAAGCGGAGAGAGCCCGCTGCAGCAGCGCAAAACAAGCCATGGAGATCCCACGTATCTGTGGAGTTTCAATCTTACGCACCTCTGGACTCTGGACAGCTCTAACTCTTCAAATGAAGCACGGGGTGGCAAATAAGATGAGATCTCAATTTCAATTTCTTCAATCAGGTTTTTTTCTCTTCTTTGCACTGCCATTGTATTGATATACTACATCCTAAGGCTGTGAGCATTTGGAAACACGGACTTTTGCGACAGCACCCAGTGTCGCTTCCGTGGCGATCGCAAAGCGCTCGCGAAACTCGGCGTCACCTTACTGTGGCCACACCATGATCCCCCGTTTAGGCCCATGACATCCGTGCACGATGGGAGTTCCAAGCTATGAACCCATTGGTAATTATGGCCCTGCTTAGACCTGCAAAGGGGCCTACGGTTTAAGGGCATTGTACGTCGTAAATAGACAAAAAATATCACCTCATCGGCTACGGCTAGCGCCGCCAAGCTTCCGCATACTAAAGCGGGTCCAGGTAGACAGGGGCAGCAAAGAATGAAAATTGGACGTCACCGTTATTTAGTATCCTATGTGTCGCCAAAACATAATTCTCTCGGATGGGTTGTTTTTTCCGGGGTAGTGCTACCTCTGCTGTGATCGCCTTGGCAACAGAATCAATTTTTGCTGATCACTGGAGCTAGGCTTGTGAATGAAGTAAGGGGCCCTGGTCAGAAAAACCATCCACCACATGACCTCAAGAAACTTCTGGCCAAATCCACTGTTGTGTGCCCCAGCTGCCTTCCGAGCTGCCACAAAGCAACTCCAACTTGTTTTTGGATAAATCCCCTGATGACATGGCAGAAGCGATTGAGGTCAAAGCTAAAGCTGCAAGCCCTGGAACCCCTGACCTCGCAGAAGACCCAACGGAACTCGTGGATGAAATCAGCAAGTGGGGTATGTCACTCACCACAATTAAAGAGGTGAATCTAGTGATTGTGAATGAATGAAAATCGCCCATCCACCTGTAGTGGCGTTCGCCGGTTGGCAATTTCATGCCGCTTTACCTTTGAGCAAATCAACGAAGAATATGGCAAACCCACGGGGAAGCTACATATTCGGTGGGTGTTCCTGTCTGTGTTAATTGCTGCAAGTGGAGGTTGATTGATTGTTTTCTGATTGGTGGTTTCGGCATGTTTTAATATGGAGTTTTTTTTTCGGGATTTTTGTTTGCTTCTTTTTTTTTGTTTTCCAGCCTGGCTTTGTGGCTTCTGTGGCTTTTGTGTCTGGCTTTTGTGGCTTTACCATGCTTTACCTATCTATCTATCTATCTATCTGTCTGTCTGTCTGTCTGTCTGTCTGTCTATCTATCTCTCTAATCTAACCTAATCTAATCTAATCTTATCTAATCTTATATCATTTTATCTTGTTTTATCTTGTTTTATCTTATCTATCTAATCTATCTAATCTACCTAATCTATATCAAGTCTATCAAATCTAATCTAATCTAATCTAGTCTAACCTAACCTAATCTATCTATTTAATCTATCTATTTAATATGTCTTTTAAATCTGTCTATTTAATATGTCCATTGAATCTGTCTATTTAATCTGTCTATTCAATCTGTCCATTTAATCTGTCTATTTAATTTATCTATTTAATTAATCTTTTTAATCTACCTATTTAATCTATCTATGCAATCCATCTTTCTATCCTATCCTATTCTATTCTAATTCTAATTCCGATTCTAATTCTAATTCTAATTCTAACCTAATCTAATCTATTCTATTCCATTCTATACTATTCTATGGTAAGTCTATTCTCTCTCTTCTATTCTATTCTTGTCTATTCTATTCTATCTAATCGAATCGAATCCAAACCATCTATCTATCTCTACATGTACCTTAATCCAACCCTGAACAGATTTTAAACCCACGATAAACCAACCCTCAATAAACCCTAAGCCAACCCCAAATAAACCCTAAACCAAACCTAAACATAACCGAAATGACCCTAAATCAACCATAAACCAACCCTAAATAAACCTTAAACCAACCCTAAATAAACCTGAAACCAACCCTAAATAAATTTAACTCAACCCCAAATAACCCTAAATAAACTAAATAAACCCTAACCCAACCCTAAATAAACCCTAAACCAACCCTAAACCAAGCCTAAATAAACCCTAAACCAATCCTAAATAAACCCCAAACCAACCCTAAACTAATCCTAAAATCACAAGCCAACCCTAAACCAACCCTAGATAAACCCTAAACCAACCAACACTATGATAGCATCCAATGCCACTATTTAGACCCAAAACGGTTGTGCTTCAACCTATATTCTACATGTTCACCAGGTGCATGTTATGCATGGACACATCGATCGAAACCATGGAAAAATCAATTGAAACCATGGAAAACTCAATCGCAACTATGCAAAAATCGATGAACATTTTGGGTAAATCCATGAACACCATGGAAAAACCGGCTAAAACCATGGACACATCTATGAACAGTGCAAATGGCACATTTTAGCCCCAAAATTCAGCAAAGTACAGTTTTTTGCTCCAAAATGTAGCAAATAGCAAGGAAAAGTGCCCCAGACTGAAAAACAAAAAAATACATCTGCACCCTTTTAGTATTGGCTGTTTGAAACCCTAGTAACCCTGGGTCCAAATTGACGAACCAATTTTTCGGTTTGAAACCGCCAACCACTTTCTTCCTCACCCAACATGGGTACCTTAAACCCTGGCTGATTTGCTTCTACCACCTTAAGCCCTGGCCAACCGGATGGTGATACTCTTCAAACTGATTTGAAAAGTTCACAACCAATCCCAAAGTATTCAGAAATTCAGCAGATCCAGTATCCAGCAGAAAAAACAAGAAAAAACAACTTTGCAAAGGGACTTCCCCAGTTGATTTGAGTGCATCCCCCCTCTCGGTCATTGAGGTGGACGGCCAGACATGGCAACTAAGGCTCGCTGAGGCTGGCCCAACATGGGTTCCGGCGGACTCTAAGGTGACTAAGGATGCCAGCTACGTGGAAGTTGGCGATCTGGGGCGGCCTCCTCCTGCGGCAGCCTCTGGCGCCGATACGGAGTTGGTCAGTTTCTCAGAACAGGTACCTTCTTCGCAGCGACTGACTCTGCGCCAACATGTGGAGACCTTTGGCAAGGATGAGATCTTCCACCCGGACAGAGAACGTCCCCCAACACTGGAAGACCGTGATGCCTCCCAGTCAGCCGTGATCTTCCACCCCAAGACCATCCAGATGCTGAAGTTCAAGGCGGACCTTTTGTCCACACAAGCGGAAGACCTGACTGAGGCAGCTCAAGAAAGTAAACGGCAGCGCCGGGAGCACCAGAAGAAGCAGGAAGAGATCTCCATGGACTCCGAACTTCAGGCTCTGACAGCCCTGCAACAAGGCGCTCATGAGGTTAAGAC